CCGCCGCCGCCGCGCGCCGACCCGCCGCCGCCGCCGCCGGTCGAGGACTCGCCGGCGGCGCGCGAGGCCGCCGCGGAGCGGCGGCGCCGCTTCCGCGAGGACCTGCGCGACCGCGTCGCCGACGCGCTCCGGCCCGACGACGGCGGCGAGGCCGCGGCCGCGGAGGCCGCGGACGAGAGCGACTCCGTCGCCAGCGTCGGCGACTTCAAGCCGGAGCCCCTCGACGAGTCCTGGCTCGACGACGACGACGACGAGGGCGGCGGCGGCGGCGGCTCGGACGGCGGCGCGCCGTCGTCCGCGTCCGAGGCGCCGTCGGAGCCCCTCGCGGAGGTCGTGACCATCGAGTACACGCGGCCGCGCATCGGCATCAGCTTCGAGATCAAGGCCGCGGCGCTCGTCGTCCAGGACCTCGCCGAGGACTACGACGCCGCGCTCGCGCGGCCGCGGAAGGGCGCGAAGCTCGTCGGCGTCGACGGGGCCTCCGTCGTCGACGCCGCGCCCGAGGACGTCATGGCGCTGCTGCGGCGCGCGTCGCGGCCCCTGCGCCTCGACTTCGTCAGTAAATTCGGAATTTGACTTGGACTGTGGGACCGGCGCGGCCGTAGTAACTCCGGAATGTGAATTAGACGCGCGGCTCGCCCCCCGCGCTACCCGTCGGCGCCGCCGTCGTCGCGTTCGGCCGCGCGCGGACCGGCGCCGCCCCCCTGGCCCTGGTTTTGGTCGCGGTACTTGGCCGCGAGCTCGCCGGGCGTGCAGGCCATCTCGACGGTCTTGTCCGGCCGCTCGCGGATGAAGCGCGGGAAGCGCAGCGAGATGCCCCGCGACTCGTGGACGAGGCCGACCGCGGCGCGGTGCGTCGGCGAGATGGACAGGTCCGCGCCCCGGATCTCCCAGACGAGGCGCGGCTCGAACCAGAAGAGGCACCGCTCGCCCGTGTCGACGCCCGGCGCGGGCGCGTCGCGCAGCAGCACCGGCTCGTCGCCGGCCGGCGCGTCGGCGCCGATCTCCGCGCCGAGCGCGCGCACCGTGAAGTCCTTGTAAAACACGTCCGTGAAGCCGCTCATGACGCGGCAGACGGAGCCGAGCGCTTCGGTCTCCGGGTCGCGCGTCGCGACCAGGATGGGGCTCACCCACTTGGACTTGCGGCCCTGGCCCTGCCACCCACCAATCACGACGAGGTCCAAGGAATCGCCCAAGGCATCGACGTAGTCCTTCTTCAGTTTCACCCAGGCGTCGGACCGCTTGCTGCCGAGCGAGTACTCGTAGGGCGCGTCCAATCGCTTCAGCATGAGCCCCTCGCAGCCCGCGTCGACGGACTCGAGGAGCGCGGCCGTGACGGCCTCCTCCAGCGGCGCGTCGTCGGCCGCCAGGTCGACGTCCGTCGACGCCGCGTAGGCGACGGCGGCCGACGGTTCGCCGAAGGCCGCCCGGAGCTTCGCGCGGCGCTCCGACAGCGGCAGCGCCGTGACGTCGGCGTCGCCGAGCCACAGGAGGTCGAAGAGCACGAGCCGCACGGCCTGCTCGACGTTGGCCTCCGTGACGCCGACGCGCTTCCGCGCGCCGAGGGCCTGGAAGGCCAGGGGGTTCGCCGCGGCGCTCACGGGCACGATCTCGGCGTCGACGACGAAGGTTTGTGCGCACGCGGCGCGCGCGGCCCGGGCGACGTCGGGGTACTTGTCGGTCATGTCGTCGTTCTTCCGCGAGAAGATGCGCAGGGCGCCGTCGCTGCCGTGCAGCTGGGCCCGCTGGCCGTCGTACTTGTGCTCGAGGGCCGCGGCGCCGGCGGGCGCCGCGTACTTGCGGAGCTTGGCGATCGCGTCCTTCTCCGACGTGACGGCGTTGGCGAGCATGGGCGCGGGCGGGACGCCCGGCTCGAGGCGGCACGCCACCTCGAGCGCGGCGTCGAGCGCGTCGCAGAACGCGGCGGTTTCCGTTTCGGCGACGCCGAGGAGCGCCGCCGCGAGGACCCGGACGTCGCCTGGGCAGGACAAGGGTGATTCAACGTCGCTTCAACGTGAGTGTTCCGCGCGCGCGCGTTCCGGAAAAAGCGTCCACGCTTCGAGACCGTTCCGAGAGATGATCGCTCGTCCAAAAATCAGCCGAAACGAGTGGAAAACGACCGAGAAAGGAGCCTTTGAAGTTGGGAATTTCGCTCTCTCGTCCTGCCCTGGACGTCGCCCCTGCGCGAGAAGGCGCCCCGCGCGGCCCGGGCGACGCGGTCCCGCGCCTTGGGCGGGCACTTCTTCGCGCCGCAGGCGCGGATCAGGCAGGCCTTGGCGAGCGCGGGCACGACCGCGGCCTCGAGCGAGATGCCCGATTCCATGTGGGGCACGAAGGTCCGCAGGAGCCACTTGGCCTCGGTGCCGCGCGACGCGCGGACGAGCCTCGCCATGCCGTCGGTCTTCGCTCGTTCGGACCCGGGCCCGCTCGGCTCGCCGAGGGCCTTGAGGGCCTCGAGGACGTCGACCGCGGCGGCGGCCGGCGGCGGCGGCCTCGCGGGCGACGGCGCGGCCTTCTTGAAGAACTTGGCCGCGGCCGACGGCGCGTCCCGGAGCGCGACGACGGCGTCGCCGAGGCTCCCGTGGGCCTTGCGCGCGGCGGCCAGGGCGGCGGGCGACGCGCGGCAGCCCGCCGCCGCGGCCTCGACGACGGCGTGGCGCGAGAGGCCGAGCGGCGGGCCCGCCGCGTAGTCGGGGCGCAGCCGGTGGCCGCCGGTCTGCGCGTCCTTCGTGGGCGCGAGGAGGTAGCAGCACGCGGCCAGGTCGTCGGCGCCGCCCGCGGCCGCGGCCCAGCGCAGCGCGTTCGTGAGCGCCCGGTCCTTGGCGAGCCGCGACCGCGTCGCCGACACGGCGTCGAGGCACCGCGCGACGACACCGTAGGCCGGGCGGTTCCGCTCCGTCGTGAGCGTCGCCAGGCCGCGCGCCGGGTCGAAGGCGTCGACGTCCTTGGCGACGTCGTCGGGGAGTTCGGCGGCCGGCGCCGGCGGTGGCGCCGGCGGCGCCGTGCGCGCCTTCTTCGCCGGCGGCGGCGACGCGCGCTTTGGTGGCGAGGGCGGCGGTGGCGGCGCGTCGGGCGCCTCCGTCAGGTCGACGACGGTGTCGTCGGCGCGCGGCGACGACGGCGGCGCGGGCGCGACTCGCTGCGCGCCGCACATGGCGCAACAGAGGAAGCCAGCCTCGCCACCGTCGTGCGTGTACGTGCAGGTGCCGCACGTCCACTTCGCGTGCGCATTATTGGTTGTTTTCTTTGGGCTCTTGGCCTTGGCCAGGAAGGCGTCCATATGACTCGGCTCGGCCTCGGCAACTCGTGCAACATTAGCTTCACTTTAGTGCTCGCGTCGGCGTCCAGTCGCGGCGACGCGGGACTCGTCCTCTCGGGCCGGGCTCGGGCCTGACGTGCTGCCGGAGCAGCGATGCGAAATCAAGGGGCGCCCGCAGTTCCGGCGCGCGCGCGCGGACGCGAGAATTTGAATTCAAAAACCAAACCAGCGTGATCGATGTAGGAGAGTAGCGTAGGAGAGGCCTGAAAAAACCCACAACTCTGAGCCGACACGAGTGGCTGGCTTACTAGTGGGTGCCACACCCTCTCAACACGCGCCTGATGCACCGAGGGGGTTGACCGCCGGTATGCCTGGTAGTATGCGCCCGCTATGCGGGCTTTATGCGGGTGTTATGCGGGTGGTATGCGGGTGGTATGCGGGTGGTATGCGGGTGGTATGCGGGTGGTATGCGGGTGGTATGCGGGTGGTATGCGGGTGGTATGCGGGTGGTATGCGTCTGCTATGCCGGTGGTATGCGGCTGCTATGCCGGTGGTATGCGGCTGCTATGCCGGTGGTATGCGGCTGCTATGCCGGTGGTATGCGGCCGGGCTGCTATGCTGGTCTTATGCGGCTGCTATGCTGGTGGTATGCGGCTGCTATGCTGGTCTTATGCGGCTGCTATGCTGGTGGTATGCGCCTGCTATGCGCCTGCTATGCGTCTGCTATGCGCCTGCTATGCGCCTGCTATGCGCCTGCTATGCGCCCGCTATGCGCCCGCTATGCGTCTGCTATGCGGCTGCTATGCGGCTGCTATGCTGGTGTATGCCGTGGCTGGTGTATGCCTGGTGGTCGGCCCCCTCTGCTGATGCAATGAACACACAACCCGTTCAACCTGTCCAATCTTTTCGTTTCCCCTCGCCGGCAGATTGCACGATAGAATACGGAAGGGGATCGCATGGCCGCCTGGATGAGCGCATTGGCGCGGTCTGCCCGGCCCGCCGGCGCCGCGGCGACGGCCGTCTTCGCCGGGTCCGTGTCCCTCTGTAACGAGGACCACATCGGGTCCCAGGAGCTCCACTGGAGCCACCACGGCGCCCTCGCGGCCTTCGACGCCTGCTCGGTGCGCCGCGGCTTCCAGGTCTACAAGGAAGTGTGCGCGACGTGCCACAGCGTGGAGCGCCTCGCGTTCCGGAACCTCGTGGAGTACGGCGCGTGGTCCGAGGCCGAGGTCAAGGCCATGGCCGAGGAGATCGAGATCGTCGACGGGCCGAACGACGAGGGCGAGATGTTCGAGCGCCCGGGCAAGCTGAGCGACCCCATGCCGGGCCCCTACGCCAACGAGGAGGCGGCGCGCGCGGCGAACAACGGCGCCCTGCCGCCGGACCTGAGCCTCATCGTCAAGGCGCGCCACGGCGGCGCGGACTACATCTTCAGCCTCCTCAGCGGCTACTGCGACGCGCCCGAGGGCAAGGTCATGCTGCCGGGCCTCTACTACAACCCCTACTTCGCCGGCGGCGCCATCGGCATGCCCGCGCCCCTCATGGACGAGCAGGTCGAGTTCCCCGACGGCACGCCGGCGACGGTGTCGCAGATGGCCAAGGACGTCGCCGTCTTCCTCTCCTGGGCCGCGGAGCCGGAGCACGACGACCGCAAGAAGGCCGGCTTCCGCTGGCTCGTCGCCCTCAGCCTCGCGGCCGTCGTCGCGGGCTGGACCAAGCGCTTCCGCTGGAGCATCCTCAAGGCCCGCAAGATCTCCTACGAGTTTTAGTCACGCCCCCCCCCCCCCGCCGCCAAGTCCCCCCCGGCCCGCGAGATCAACACCACATAACAATTCCCCGACACTAGGGGCTCGCCGCCCGGACGCGGACGTCGAAGACGCCCGGCCGGACCTCCGCGGCCTTGAGCCGCGGCCGCTTCTCGAGGCACGCGCGGACCGCGGCGCCGAGCTTCGGCGCGCCGACGGAGTGCCTGCCGCGGCCGGCGATGAACTTGAGCGACGCCTTGCGCCTGTTGACCGTCGTCTCGAGCTCGTCGAGCGCCGCGTCGACGACGAACGTCGCGTCGCGCGCCGACAGCCAGTGCAAATCGATAAGCACGTCGTGGCCCACCCCGAAATGGGTCCCGCAGGCCGCCACGGCGACGTCGACGACGCCCTCGAAGCCGATCTCGGAGCAGCGGTGCACGGCCGCGTCGGGCCCCAGCAAGGCGCCGTTGTTCGCGGCGAAGAAGAGCGCCGCGGCGACGTCGCGCTGGCGGTACATGCGGTCCCGGAGGGCCTTGGCCTGGCGGTAGGCCGGGTCGCCGCGCGCGCCGAGGCTATGGGCGCGGTCGAAGGCCTCGGCCATGGCCGCGCGCGTCGCGTCGGACGCGAGCCGCGCGGCCTCGGCGGCTTTGGCGAGCGTCTCCTCGGCGTCGACGCCGCGGCCGCGCGGCCTCCCGCGCTGGGCCTTGATCTGCTGCGACGCACTCTCCTGGGCGTCGAGCTCGGCCTCGGGCACGGCCCAGGGCCGCTTGTCCATGGCGCGCCGCTCCCTCCGGTTGAGGGACGGGTCGACGGCCGGCGCCGGCTCCGGTTCCTCGGCGGCCGCGAGGGACCGCGCGAAGGCCTCGTCGGCCGCGTCGGCCGCGGGCCGGCCCCGGTGGGGCCGCAGCGCCGCGCGGATCGCCGCGTCGTCGAGGGCCGCGCGCTCGTCCGCGCGCCGCGCCGCGTAGAGCGCCGCCGACGCGGCGGCCGCGGCGTCGCGCCGCGCGGCCGCGGCGGCCTCCTCGACGGCGCGCGCCGCGGCCCGCGCGCCCGCGTTCTCCTCCTCGGCGAGGCGCCGCGCGAGCGACGCGTCGCCGCCGCCGAGCTCCTCCTCGGCGAGGCGCCGCGCGAGCGCCGCGTCGTCGCTCGCGTCCGCGGCCAGCCGCCGCGCGACGGTCGCGTCGCGCTCCTCGGCCGCGAGGCGCAGCGCGAAGTCGCCGTCGTCCTCGGCCGCCGCCTCCTGGAGGTCCAACGCGAAGGCGAGGTCCGCGTCGCCGGAGAGGTCGACCTCGGCGCGCGTCCGCGCGCCCCGCTCCGCGTCGTCCTCGTCCTCGCACGCGAGGGCCTTGGCGACGACCGCGTCCTGCTCGACGTCGTCGCGCTCCGCGGCCGCGAGGCTCGCGAAGATCGCGCGCGCGTAGGCCTCGTCGGCGCTCTCCGCGGCGCGGCGCCGCGACGACCGCGCCTCCTCCTCGTAGACCTCGGACGCCGAGAGCGCCGCGGCGAACTCCGCGTCGGCCCGCTTGTGCTCCGCGGACGACGAGCGCGCGAGCGCCGCGCGCTCGAGGCTCTGCACGGCGGCGAGCGCCTCCTCGAGCTCGGGGTCCGGCGGCGGCGCCGGGGGGTCGGCGCCGTCGGCGCGCGCCACGGCCGCGAGCGCCTCCTCGAGCTCCGGGTCGTCCGCCTTGACCTCGTCGTCCGCGGCCTCGGCGGGCCAGGCCTCCGCGTCGGCCGCGGCCTCGTCGACCTCGACGCCGAGGGCGTTCATCATGCCGGCGAAGTCGACGGCGTCCTCGCCGTCGAGCTCGTAGGCCATCGCCGCGTGCGACGACGGCGACGGCGACGGGCGACGCTTGATGCTCACGAAAATTTCACCCGTCTCCTCGTCGACCTCGTGGATCTCCTCGTAGGGGTTCGCCTCATGGTTTCCTGCATGTGCCCTTTGCTGCGACATGTGCATCGACAATCGAGATCGTCCGCGTTTCAAGAACGGACAACAACGGCCAAGAGCCGTAAAGGTGCCGTCGACTGCTTCTCGATGTGCGAGGCAGCCCTCTGGCTTTTAGCGTGAGCGAAAGAGACGTCGTATTGGCCTGAAACGCCGCTCTGTAAAATCCCTTCGACTGTGAACTGCGTGTGATGCAGCCCCGGCACGTCGCCGCCGGCGTCGGCGCGGGCCTCGCCCTGTGGCTCCTCTGGCGGCGGCTCCGACGGCGGCAGGACGCGAAGGCCGCACTCCACGCGACGGTCGTCCTCGCCAGCGCCGGCGGCCGCGCGCAGCCGCACGCCGTGCTGCACACGGGCCGCCTCATGCCCCTGGTCGGCCTCGGCACGTGGAAGGCGAAGCCGGGCGACGTCGAGCGCGCGGTCCGCGCCGCCATCGAGGCCGGCTACCGGCACATCGACTGCGCCAAATGCTACGACAACGAGAGGGAAGTCGGCGCCGCGATCAGGGGCTGCCTCGACGCCGGCGTCTGCGCGCGCGAGGACCTGTTCGTCACGTCCAAGCTCTGGAACACGGAGAAGAAATACGCGCGCGACGTCAGGAACGCGCTCGAGAACACGCTCCGCGACCTCCAGCTGGACTACCTGGACCTGTACTTAATTCATTGGCCCGTCGCCTTCGGCCGCGTCGTCAACTGCGCGTGCCACGGCAACGCGGGCGACGGCGCCATCTGCCCGTTCCCGAAGCGCGCGGACGGGGGCCTGAAGTACGACGACGCGCGTCGCCGCGTCTTGAAAATGAATTCCGGAGATTTGGACGCCATTCAGGTGCCCCACGCGGAGACGTGGCGCGCGCTCGAGGCCTGCGTCGACGGCGGCCTCGCGACGCACATCGGCGTGTCGAACTTTAACGAGGCGCAACTCCAGGCGCTGCTCGACGCGTGCACCGTGCGGCCGGCCGTGAACCAGATCGAACTGCATCCCTACAACGCGTCGCCGGCGCTGTGCGCCTACTGCGCCGAACAGGGCATCTTGCTGACGAGCTACTGCGTCCTCGGCCACGGCAGCGGCGCGGGCGTGCCGCTCTTGGAGAGCCCCGTCGTCGCGGCCATCGCCGAGAGGCGCGGCATGACGCCCGCGCAGGTGCTCATCCGCTTCCAGACGGAGCGCGGCGCGGCTCGGCGCCGAACGCGGGGCTTCGACGCGATCGGAACGCGGCGTAGGTATCGCGGCGATCCCGAAGTCGACGACGCCCGCGCGCATCGTGTCCAACCTCGACGCGGCGGACCCGTCCCAGCGCCTCGAGCCCGAGGACCTCGACGCGCTCCTCGCGATGGACGTGGGCTGGCGGTTCTGCGCCGCGCTCCGCGACAAGCACCTGGCCCAGTACCCCTTCAAGGACGAGCTGCCCGTGCTCATGCGACACGCGAAGCAGGCGAAGTAAGGGTGTTGTTTGAGCGTATTTTTTCGCAACCGGCACGGTGCGCTCCAGACTGCCGGGCCGCCGGAGCACGTTGCACGAAATCCTACCCGAAGCCCAGACCTTCTGGTGATCGGAAGCGCGTGTTGACGACGTGATACGCGCCCCCACACGCATCCCTACATCCTAAAGGAGCACACCGCACGAGCATGTACTACCTGGAGTCCACGGGCGAAACCGTGCGTTCGTCGGGCCCCTTCGAGGTCGTCTTCTCCAAACACACGAATTCTTGGTGTTTCAAGACGCTCGGCGGCTCGCTCCGCGCCCGCAAGACCGGGGGCGTGGACTTCAACGGCGGGGGCGGCGCCTGGTCTCAGTGGCGGCGCAACCCCCTCGCGTCGACGGACGCGGAGGTGTTGCGGAACGTCGCCGATCCGACGAAACTGTTGCGTTGGGGCCGCGAGGGTCTCGCCGCGAAGACGACGCTCATCGACGACGATCCGACGACCCACTTCCGCCTCGCGCTCGTGTCGCGCATCACGCCGCCCGTGTCGCCGGCGTCGAACACGGGGTGGGAGGACGCGTCGATCGTGCCGCGAGACCGGAGCCGGAGCCTGTCGCTGAGCTTCGCGAGCGTGAGCGGCTCCGAGCAGAGCCGGAGCCGGAGCCGGTCCTTCAGCCTCGGCCGGTCGTCGAGCGAGTCGAGCGACGTCGAGCGCCGGGCGTCGTGGCGCGAGGACGTGGACCTCACGCCGCGGGACCTCGAGGCGTTTTCGCGCCGGGGCTTCGTCGTCGTCCGCGGCTGCGCGTCGCGGTGGATCGCCGGCGAGGCGCGCCGCGCCGTCAACGCCGCGGTCTTCGCGCGCGGAACCCTGCGGCACGTCGAGAAGGACCCCGCGGTGCTCGACGTGCTGTTCGAGAGCGACGCGTGGACGCTCGCGTCGCGCCTCGTCGGCCGCGACGAGGTCAAGACGGCGCGGCCCCGGACGTCCGTCCGCGTCTCGCCGCCGTCGCGCGACGTGGAGCGCGACGTCGCGCGCGCGGGCCGCGACGCGGCCCTGGGGACGACGGCCTGGGCCGTCGACGCCTCCTGCGCGCTCCGCGTCTTCGTCGCTCTCTCGGACTTCGAGGGCGACACGCGGGGCGGCCTCGTCGTCTTCCCGGGCTCCCACGAGACCGTCCACGCGGCGACGTCGCGGCCGCGGCTCCGGGGCGGCGTCGAGCTCGAGCTCGACGCGGGCGACGCGGTCCTGCTCCACCCGCTGCTCGCGACGGCCTGGGCCGTCAACGGCGCGCCCGACCCGGGCTTCGGCGTCGTGTTCCGCCTCGAGCGGAACACGCCGGGCGACGGCGGCGGCCTCTTCGGCGCCTTCGACGCGCTCACGGCCCTCGGCCAGACGGGCGACTTCGACGAGCTCGGCGCGGACCTGGAGCAGTTCGGGGCCGGCGACGACCACCCCTTCTTCATGTAGATAGCCGCCATGATGACTGCCTGTACATAAACCACCCTTCGTAGCATGGTGCGGCTACTTGAGTAGTAGGGCCTCTAACACTACCCCCCGAACACGAAGTGGCGCGACGGGTAGAGGATGCGGTCCGCGGGCATGCCGATGATGGCGGCGTGCGACTCCGGGAAACAGGCCACGCCCGCGTCGCCGCCCGCGGCGCCGGCGACGACGAGCGTCGGGAAGAAGTGCTCGGACTCGCCGGCCCTGTGGCACACGCGCGCGCCCGGCGCGGCGTCCCAGCGCCGGAGCCGCGCGACCTTGTCGGCGGCGCCGAGCGACTCGACGAGCCAATCGTCGAAGGCGAAGGCCGCGTCGATGTTCGGCCGCCGCGGCGGGCCGAAGAGCACGGAGAAGTTGTGGATCGACGGCACGCCCGACCCCACGACCACGACGCCCTGGGCCCGGAGCGGCGCGAGCGCCTCGCCCATCGCGAGGTGCGCCGCCGGGTCCTCGGTCCCGCGCAGCGACACGGCGACGACGGGCACGCCCCGGAACGCGCGCAGGCAGTCGCTGAGGCCGTGGCCGCGCACGGAGCCCCGGACCGCGTCCGGGACGGCCGCCACGACGGCGTCGCAGAGCGCCGCGTCGCTCCCCGCGAAGGCGACGCCGCGGCCGGCCGCGCCGAAGGCGTGCGCCTCGACGACGACGACGCCCGTCGGCGCGCGCGGCAGCGTCTTCAGGAAGCTCTCCAGCATGTTTGACACGCCCGCGCCGCCGCCGGGCCCGTGGTTCATCGTCAGGACCGGCATCTTCTCGCCGGCCTGGGGCGCGAAGGTCGCCGTGCTGCCGAAGAGGTAGGATGTCATGGCGGCGAGCGGCATCGCGGTTGTTATGACGCGTACCGCGCAGTGCTGCTCGACGACGACGCCCGGCGTCGATGCTCGAACAATCGCCTCGGAAGAGCGTTTCTTGAGGGTCAACTTGTCGTCAACCACGACCTCAATCCTGCACTCGTCGCGACGTTACGGCGACGCCCCCGGCGCGAGCCGGCGCGGGGGCAGGTTGGGGGTCCCCCGGCCTAGGGCTCGGGCGCCTTGCCGTCGAAGAGGAGGCCGCCGATGTCGCGCGCGATGTCGAGCGTCGCGTTCGGCCGCGCGGCGCGGAGCGCCTCCTTCTGCATGGCCTCGCGCTCGCCGGCCCGCGTGAGCCAGCGCGTGAGCGTCTCGGCGATCTTCTTGGGCTTCTTGACGAAGGCGCCGAAGCCGTTGCCCTCGACGAACTTGACGTTGCCGTACTCCTGGCCCGGGAGGTGCGAGCTCAGGAGGCAGGGCAGGCCCCGCGTCGCCGCCTCGGCGATGGTGCCCGGCCCCGCCTTGGTGACGATGCAGTCCGCCGCCGCCATCCACTCGTCCATGTTCTGCACGAAGCCGAGGATCGTCGGCTTGACGTTCGGGGGCCAGTCGCGCGCCTCGAGGTCCGCCTTCACGGCCTCGTTCTTGCCGCAGACGACGACGAGGCCCGCCTCCTCGCCGGCGTCGCCGAGGTCGTCGCCGCAGGCGATCGCGACCTTGGCGATGCCGCCGACGCCGTCGCCGCCGCCGACGACGAGCGCCGTCGGCCGGCCGCCCTCCAGCCCCAGCGCCGCGCGCACCTCCTCCTTGGACCGGCTCTCGGCCGTCCAGAAGCCCTCGCGCAGCGGCAACCCGCGGAGCCGCAGCTTCGACTCGTCCAGGCCGCAGCGGCTCCCCATCTCGTAGAGCGCGTCGCTCGGCACGAACGTGTAGTCCGCGCGCTTGTGGAACCACGTGTTGTGCGCGGAGCCCAGGTCGGTGACGACCGTGACGAAGGGCGTCGTGCGCGACCCGCCGTCCAGCTCCTCGAGCGCCCGGAGCGGGATGTCCTGGCAGAGCGGGTGCACGGACACGACCATGTCCGGCGCGTGATGCGAGATGCAGTCGCGGAACTTCTCGAAGCACTGCCAGCGGCTCGTCAGCTCCTGGAGCTTGCGGCTCGGGTAGAAGCGGCCGTAGTACCAGATGATGCGCCAGATCCACGTCCGCTTCGCCGCGATCTGGTACCACGGCACAAAGTTCGAGTACGGCCAGCACGAGTGGTCCGTCCAGATGTCGACGATGTCCGCCTCGACGCGGCCCGGGTAGAGCTCGTCCAGCGCGTTGACGAGGGCCTTGGCCGACGCGCGGTGGCCGCCGCCCGTGTCGCTCATGAGGAGCAAAACCCGTTTTTTGTCGCTCGCGACGGCGGGCGCGACGGCGGAGGCGACGACTCGCGTCCGCAGCGGTCGTCTGTCGGTGAGGACTCCGCGCGCCACCGTGCGCGCGCCGGGCGGCGCCACGAGGGCGCCGGCGCCGGCGGCGCACAGCGCGAGGATCGTCAACATCACGATCGTGATGAGTGCTCCGAGCCGAGCCGGATCGACGCCGCCAGCACAGTCGCGACCGCTCGTCGCGCCGCCAAGCACACCGATGCGCAGCGTCCTCGCAACTCTCTGCACCGCCACGGCGTCGGCCTTCAGCCCCTTTGGCAAGTTCCTGCCCGACGGCTTCGGCTTCCGGCGCATGTCGGGCTTCCCGGCCAACGCCGTCGGCGTGAGCGACGTGCTCGCGTCGCCGCAGTGGCCCGCGGACTGGCCCTACGCGCCGCGGGACTTCCAGCGCGCCGACGACCTGCCGGACCAGATCTTCTACGACGCGCCGCGGTTCTGCTTCCACGTCGACGACAAGGCCGTCGAAGCGCTCACGGCCCACTACGCCACGGCCTTCAAGGCCTGGGACAAGCCGGCGATCCTGGATATCTGCGCGAGCCACGTGAGCCACTTCCCCGCGGACATCGCCGACTACGCGGGCAAGCGCGTCGCGCTCGGCATGAACGAGGAGGAGCTCGCGCGGAACGAGCAGGTGGACGAGTACGTCGTCAAGGACCTCAACGCGGAGCCGGTCCTGCCCTTCGAGGACGACTCGTTCGACATCGTGACGAACGTCGTCTCCATCGACTACCTCACGCAGCCCCTGGCCATCTGCAAGGAGGTCGCGCGCGTGCTGAAGCCCGGCGGCCAGGCCATGTTCGCGCTGTCGAACCGGTGCTTCCCCAGCAAGGCCGTGGACATCTGGCTGCGCACCAACGACCTCGAACACGTGTTCGTAGTAGGCTCCTACTACCACTACTCCGGCGCCTTCCAGAAGCCCTTCGCCGTCGAGGTGTCCCCCAACCAGGCGACGACGCCGTGGAGCGGCGGCCGGTCCCAGAACATCGCCTACCTGGCTGTCGTCAAGGCGACGGTGGACAAGTAAGGTTCGGAGGTTTAGCTGCGCCCGCGCCCGCGCCCGCCTCCGCGGCCCCGCCCTCGCCCTTTGCCGCGGCCCTTGCCGCGGCCCTTGCCGAGCTTCACGAGGCGCCCCGCGCGCTTCTGCTTGTGGACCGGCGGCGCGACGCCGCGCTTGACGTCGCGCAGGATGCCCATGAGGAAGGCGGACACGGACTTGATCGCCGGCGCGGCCTGCTTCCGGGACCGGTCCGCCGCGACCTTTTTCGCGACGTCGTCGAGCGCCCGGCGCACGTCGTCCTCGGAGAACTCGGTCATGTAGGCGCGGCAGCGGCCGTCGACGTCGGCCCTGGCGAGCACCGACGCGTGGGCCTCGATGGCCGCGGCCACCAAATGGTCGACGTGGTCGGGCTCGAGGAGTCTGGGCGCGCCGCCGTCGTCCTCGCGCGCCGCGCGCTTCAGCACGCCGAGCGCGTAGGCGCTCGGGTTCGCCATGGCCTCCGCGCCCGGGAGCTCGCGCTTCTTCTGCACGTCGCGGCAGACCTTCTTGGCGACGGAGAAGGGCGCGCGGCCCAGCGCGGCCTTGACCTCGCCGTCGAGCGCGTCCGCGAGGCCGTGCTTCTTCGCGAGGGCCTCGATGGCGTCGCGGGCCTCCGTGTTTGGCGCCTCGGCCTTGGACGCCTCGGGCTGCTTGGCCTTCAGGCGGCCGGCGTCGTCGTGGCCGTCCGCGAGCAGCGCGACGCGGAGCCGGTGGCCGAGGAGCACGGAACCGTCGGCCGCGCGGCGGCACGCGTCGGCGTCGCTCTCGGCCTCGAAGACGGCGTAGGCGAGGCCCGCGTGCTTCCGGCCGGCGTCCTCCGACGAGGCGCCGTCGGCGACGAGGCGGATGGTGGGCCGCCGGCCGTCGACGGCGAGGTGCGCCGCGAGCTCCTCGGCGCCGGCGTCGTAGGCGAGCTGCGTCACTACCAGCGTCGCCTTCTTCTGGTTGCGCCAGCGCGCCTTCTTCTTCTTTTTGGGCGGGTCCGTGGAGTCGGGCTGGCTGCGCTTTTTGCTCTCCATTTTGCTGGAGCTGGCTTCCATCGCTCTCCGGCCGAAGGTTTTGCCACTGGGGGGTTTTGCGGATGTTTTGCGAGATGCGCCACTCGAGAGCTCTCCCAGCGGTGTCGCGATGGACTCGGAGGCTGCGTGAGTAGCGGACACGTCGTCGTCTTCGGAGCGGCGTAGCCGGCGTGTACGCCGGTCGCGGCTGGATGCTCTTTTTGTCGGAGTTGAGACTCGCTTGAAGAATTTGTTGAAGCAGCAGCCTCTCTCGTGATTTGCCCGCCTCGTGGATCGGTGCGTTCGGCGTAAGTACAACCACATCGCCATCGGCGTTGCCAGCGCGACAACCCCTGTGCCGCCAAGCACACGCGCCACAGCACGACGATGCTCGTCCCAGCCCTGCGCAACCAATCCGCAACCACGCTGAGCAACGCGGTGCAGATGCTCGCCTGCCGCGCGCTGATCCTGTGGATCCGCACGACGCCGCTGTGGCTCATGGCCGTCGCGCTCCACGCGCTGCCGGCGGCGGCCGCGTTCGCGGCGCGGCACTACGCGCTCTACCTCTGGTGCCTCGGCGAGCTCGCGTTCGTCAACTACTACATGATGCTGCGCTGGCGCGTGCGGCGCGCGCCGGCGCCGCGGCGCCACGAGTGCGCGACCGCCGGCGACCGCCGGCGCCTCGCCGAGCGCGCCGTCGACGACATGTGCAACCTCGGCGCCTCGAAGCAGGCCTTCCTCGCGGGCTGGTTCCACGGCGCGACCTGCGTCACGCGCGACGCCTTCGAGCGCTGGACGGCGTGGGCGTTCTTCGACGCCGAGCCCCACGAGCTCGAGGAGGACGCAAAAGCGGAGCTCCGCGACCTGGTGACGTGGTTCGAGCGGCGCGTCGGCCACGTCTTCCCGCGCCGAGGGCCAACAGCAAACTGCATCCGCCTCAAGTACGACGCGGTCAACGACGTCTACCGCCCCTTGATGTACTACTGGTGCACGTGGCACCTCTGGGCGCTCGGGCGCCTCGTCGTCCGCCTGCTCGGCTTCCGCCAGGACGCCGCGGACCGCCGCGTCTTCTACCGCGCGTCGGCGGGGCCGGGGACGCCCCTCGTCTTCGTCCACGGCATCGGCATCGGCTTCGTCCACTACGCCCTGCTCCTCGCGTCGCTGCCGCGCGAGGCGCCCGTGGTCCTCGTCGAGTGGCCCCACTGCTCCCAGTGCCTCGACGGCCGCGACCCGCCGAGCCAGCAGGCGACGGTGGCCTCCGTGCGCCGCGCGCTCGCGAGCCGCGGCCACGGCCCCGCGGTGTTCCTCGCGCACTCGCTCGGCACGACGGCCGTCGCCTGGTGTTTGAAGGCGAAGCGGTCGCCCGTCCGTTCCGTCATCCTGATCGACCCCCTCTGCTTCCTCCTCGTCGCGCCCACGACCGCGTTCAACTTCCTCCACCGCGCGCCGTCGAGCGCCATCCAGCTGCTGCTCCAGTTCTTCATCGCCACGGAGCTCTTCACGGCGAACACGATCCAGCGCCACTTCTCCTGGACGCACAACACGCTCTTCGTCGACGATCTGCCGGCGGCGCGGTCGACGGTGATCCTCGCGGCGAAGGACCTCATCACGAACGCGCCGCTCATCCGCCAGTACCTCCAGCCGGCGGCGTCGCGCGGCGACGTCGACGTCCACTTCCACCGCGGCCTCGAGCACGGCGAGCTCTTCCTCCGGCCGGCCCTCGTCGCGCGGACCGCGCGCGCCGTGCGCGCGCACTGCGGGTTGCCTTAAGCCGCCTTCCCTTTCCGTGCCGTGCGGGCGCACAGCGGGTTGCGTTACACCTTTGGGTTGCGTTACGCCGCTTTCCCTTTCCGCCGCGCCGCCGTGCGGCTCCACGGCGTCGCGCCGCGCGTCCCGCGCGGGTGGACGAAGCCCCGCGGCGGCGCGGTCTCGAAGCGCGGCTCGCGCTCCGCGAGGTAGCGGGCGACGGACGGCAGCGCCGCGCAGTGGCGCACGAGCGCGCCGACGAGGGGGTAGGCCGCGCGGTCCGCCGGGTGGAGGTAGCCGCAGGCCTCGAAGCCCTCGACGCAGTCGAAGAAGCAGAGGTCCGCGAACGAGAGCGCGCCGCCGGCGAGGAAGGCCACGCCGCCGACCGCCGGCTGCTTCCGGAGCCAGCGCTCGAAGGTCTCGCACCACCGCGTGTGCTTCGCCGTCATGCGGTACCGCGCCGTCGCGTAGCAGACGCACAACCCGAGGCAGTTGCGGCCGGGGCAGACCGCGTCGCAGAAATAGCGCGCCAGCCACGACCCGTAGTACAACTCGTCGTACATCTCCTGGATCGAGCAGCACGCCGACGTCGCCAGCGACAGCGCCGCGGGATCCGATGGCGCCAACCCGGTGGCCAACCCGCAGTACTGGGCCGCGGCGACGGTCTGGGCGACGCTCACGCAGGCGCCGCCGCGCGCGTGCTGGACGACGGGCGCCTGGTCGAAGGCGAGCGGCGACGCGTCGCCGAGGGCCGCGCTCTTGTAGGGCAGCAGGCCCGCGGGGAACTCGAGGCGCACGTCGTCGAAGGGGACGTCCTGGCTCGCGAGGATGAGCCGCAGGCACTCGCCGCGGTTCGCGGCGTCGAAGTAGATGACGCGCCAGCCGGCCCGCGGCTCCAGGGGCAGCAGGGGCTCCAGCGGTTCGGGCTCCGGGGCCGCCTGGCCGACCCGGAAGAGGCGCATGATGCGCGCGAAGAGCCGGCCGAGCTCGTAGCGCACGGCCAGGTTCGCGGCCCAGAGGATCTCGACGGCCGCGGCGAGCATTAGTAGTGGTTTTTGTCGGGCTGCTGCCTTTTCTTTCTTGGGCTTGGGCTGCTGCCTTTTCTTCTTGGTCCGAGCTTTGGTCTTTTAAAAAAAAAAAGTCTACTGGGGTCAGCGCTGTCGCCGCGACGACTCTGTCCTCGACGACTCCGTCACCGAGCTGGACGACGGGCAGCCTCAGGCCGCGGACCAGACTCGATGGGGAGCGGCAACAAAGCAGGGTGAACGTCAACGTCTGGTTGGTTGACATAACGGGGCGATCGATAGTCGGCTGCCTTCGGCCGTCGCAGCGCCGACGCGGTCGCTGCCGACGGCAAAAGAGCACACCGCTGGTCGCCGAACGCGTCTCGTGACACGCGCTGCGAAAGACGCGATGGCCGACAACGAGCTCTACGCCGAGATGGAGGAGACGTGGGGCAAGCGCGCGGCGCGGGGCATGCGCACCTGCGTGCGCGGGCGCGAGGTCCTCGTCGACGGCCGGACCGGCGACGCGGCGCTCGACGCCGCGCCGGCGAGCGACGAGGGCCCCGAGGCCGTCTTCCTCCGGGAGTTGGCCGCGACGCGTAAAGCCAAGGAGGAGGCGAAGAAGGAGCAGCAGGGCGGCTCGCGCGCGGCCCAGCGGCGGCGGAAGCGCGGCGGCGCGTCCCAGTCGCCCGCGCCGCCCGCGGATCGGAACGCCGCCGACGACGCGAAGGCGCTCAAGGAGGCGAACGTCCCGGACGCGAAGCCCGAAGCGAAGAAGCCGAAGACGCCCCGGGAGCCCAAGGAGCCCAGGGCCAAGAAGCAGAAGAAGTCGCCGGACCAGCGGAGCCTCTTCATGACGTCCCCCACGTCCCACCTCCTCGGCGGCAAGACGTCCAAGGCCGACGCGGCGAAGCAGCGCGAGCTCTCCATGGCGCCGCGGAACGTCGGCGGCGGCCTCTGGGTCCGCGACACGGCGCTCGGCTGTGTGCAAATCAAATCTTCAACCCGACTTCAATGTGCGCGTATTCGAATGGTTTGACACGAGCACTTCCGCCGTGCTTCGAGAACTCGCTGAGAGCAATCGATTCGTCCAAAAATCAGCCGAATCGACTTCGATTCGACCGAGCTCGAGAATTCTGAAGTTTGGCCCCGACGTCCCAGCTCACTGGTTGATTTGCACACAGGCGCTCGGGCCCGACGGCGCGCCCGAGGCGTCCGGCTGCGTCTCCGTCGGCGTGCTCTACACGGCGCGGCTCCACGCGACGAAGAAGCGCTTCGACCACCGGTCGAACCCGAACTCGCCCTTCGTGTTCCCGTTGGGGCGGAAGGTCGTCGTCGACGGCTTCGAGCGCGGCGTCCTCGGCATGCGCGTCGGCGGCGAGCGCGAGGTCGTCGTGCCGCCGGACCTCGGCTACGGCGCCGAGGGCGCGCCGCCCAAGGTCCCGGGCGGCGCGACGCTGCACTTCACGATCAAGCTCGTCCGCGTCGGCGACGCCGACGGCGCGACCGCCAAGGCCGAGCCGACGCTGCGGCGCCGCGCGCGCGGCGCGCGCGGCGGCGCGCGCGCGCACAAGAAGCGCAACGCCGCGGCATGAGAGAGGGGTGGTCCCCCCCCCCGGGAGGCGTCCGACGACGCTCCGGCGCGCGACCCCGAGCTCGGTCCGCCGCGCCCCGCTAACCTTATGACACGTTACACAGCGAGTTGAGGAGCGCGTTCAGGTCCGCGAGGCCGACGGCGTTGCCGACGTAGTACGGCGCGCCGAGCTTCCGCGACGGCCCGGTCCGCGGGTGGACGACCCAGGGGCACGCGCCGCCGACGCCGCCGCCGCAGCAGGCGCCGCCGGGGCACGTCCCGGCCTCGTCCACGCTCGCGGCGCCGTGGGCGAAGCTGGAGAAGCCGATGTAGTGGTGCGCGCTGTTCGCGTCGAAGAAGCGGGGGAGCGTGATGCCGAAGGTGTCGTGGACGTCGTAGCGCGACCGTCGCAGGTGCGCGAGCTGGAGCGCGTGGGCCTTCGCCAGCTTCGCGTTCGTGCGGTACTCGACTTCGCGGTCGTCGTGGCGGCGGAAGGAGTAGGCCGGATTCGTCCGCCAGACCAATCGCGTCGTCTCGGGCGCCGCCGCGGCGAGCGCGTCGACGAACGCCTTCCACGCGTCCACGTAGGCCTCGACGTTCACGTCGCGCAGGTCCCAGTGGCCCATGTTCACGACGACGACGTCGGGCGCCGCGGCGAGGATCGCGGCGACGAGGGACCCGTCGTCCCGGGGCACCTTGTTCGCGGCGAGGAAGCGGACGTCGCCGCGGCTCCGGATCGTCCAGTTGCCCGCCTTCGTCGTCGCGTCGGGGCCTACGAAGGGCGACGGGGTCGGAGTTCTTCCGGCGAGAATTGCGCGAAAAAGCACTCCCGTCGCTCGACGCCGGTCGGGGCCGGCGGGCTGGGGCTGCGGCGCCAGCGCGTCGGCGACGAGGCGCGTGTGCGAATCGCCGACGAAGAGCACCGTCCGTCCCGCGAGGCATCGCGTCGCCTCGTCGCGGTCGTAGACTCGGGGCGCGCACCGCGACGGGGCCCAGGCGAGCGCGCCGTCCCGGAAGGTCCAGCGCCCGACGTCGGCGCGGTGCCTTCGAGACGCGAAGGACGAGCACGGCCGCGAGGCGTCGACGGCGCGCGCGGCGGCGTCGACGGACGGGAGCCCCCGCGTCGCCGTCAGCGGCCGGCAGAGCGGCCGCGGCTGCCGCCCCGGCGCCGCGCCGGGCGCGAAGGCCAGCGTCTCGTTCTCGAACATGAGCAGCACCTCTAACGCGTACGCGCCGGCGTCGCGGACGTCGCAGCGCAAGGCGTAGCCGTCGCTCGCGGCGTCGACGGCGCAGGGGGCCAACGACGGGCCGACGAGGCGCGCGGCGAGGGACGCGCCGGGGCCCACCGTCGTCGTTATGTTGCAGCGCGCGGTGCTCCCCTCCATGACGAGTGGGCTCATGACCCACCGCCCGCCTGCGGCTGGGACCGGTCCGCCGCGGCAGAACTTGGCCACATCGTCCGGCGTGCCGTTCCAGATGGTCGGCGGGCCCAGGGTCGCCGCGATTGGGCTGCTTGCAGCGACGCTCGCCGCGACGGCGAGCAGCCGGATCATTGGAGCTGCCTCATGGCTGCGCCCGGCCCATCGTCACCTTTACATCTGCAACATGCATTTGAGCACTCTCATTGCAGTGTGTCGTGGCATGGCTCGTGCTCGTGTGCTCAAGGTCGTCAACGCAGCGTCAACAGCAAAAAGCGCAAGCCATGCGCATGTCTGAAACACACACGCAATCGTAGGTCTTGCTCGCGTGCCTCGCCGCAGCCTCGGCGTTCGTCCCGGCGCCCGTCGCCAAGGCGCGCCTCGCGCCGCTGCAGGCGGAGAAGACCTTCGTGGAGACGGTGCAGACGGCGATCCGCATCTTCCAGGAGTCGACGTCGCAGGGCGCGGACTTTAAGCAGGCCGTCGCCGACGCGCTCGCGGGCGAGTACGACCGCGCCGCGGCCCAGGCGACGCTCGACGACTACGTCGCCTCGGCGCCCTGCGTCGTCTTCACCTGGAAGCCGTCGCCCTTCAGCCAGAAGGCGCTCAAGTACCTGGACGTCGCCGGCGCGGACGTCAAAAACGTGCGCCTCGACGACCCCTGGGCCGAGGGCAACCCGCTGCGCGCGGAGCTCGGGCGCATGGTCGGCCGCACGTCCGTGCCCTCCGTCTTCATCGGCGGCAAGTACGTCGGCGGCTTCGACGGCGGCGTCTCCGAGGACCAGCCGGGCATCCTCGACCTCGCCTTCCAGGGCAAGCTCCGGCCGCTCCTCGAGGACGCGGGCGCGCTGAAGTAAGGAGGACAACCCAAACGCAAGTTCAAAGGGCAGTTCGGTTAAAGAAGCCCACGCGCGCGCGAGGAACGCCGCGCGGGGTGGAAAGAGGGGCGCGAATTCGGTCAGACGACGGCGGCGGGGTCCTCGGGGTCCGCGGCCGCGCGCGGGTCCTCGTCGCCGTCGGCGGGCGCGGTCGAGGGCGCGACGGACACGTTCGACGGCGACGGCGGCGCGGGCGTCGCCGGCGGCGTCGGGTCCGCGGCGGCCGGGCTCGGCGGCGCCGCCGGCGCCGCCGGCGGCGGCGCGGGCTTGGCCGGCGGCGGGTCCGCCATGTCGTTCGGCGGCGCGATGGGGCCCGGGCTGATCTCCCACGTCGCGACCTTGTAGCCCATGACGCGGTGGAAGTCGCGGTACTTGACGTCCGTCGGGAGGAGGTACATGGGCCAGGGGTCGACGCCGAAGACGTCGACCCAGGGCACGGGCGCGAAGTTGCCCTTGGGGCCCCGCTTGCGCATGCGGTCGATCGTGCCGATGCCCGTGACGATCGCGTAGATCTGGTTGTACATCATCGTCGCGACGAACATGAGCGTCGCGATGGACACGGCCAGCAGCGCCGCGACGAGGCCGCTGCAGGCCGCCGACGGGTACGTCGTGCCGTTCGAGTAGTTGGTCGCGATGAGCGCCAACGCGTAGACCGCCTCGACGATCGTGTAGAGCAGGAAGAGCATGAAGTGCTTCTGGTTGTTCGCGCCGATGCAGTTGTTCATCCAGGGGCAGTGGTGGTCCATGCGCACGATGCACCGGTTGCAGATGCGGCAGTGGTGGGACCGCGGCGGTTTGTACGCGTCGCAGCGGCCGCAGATCGTCTCCGGGATGCCGCTCTCGCTCGCGCGGATGAGGGGCTGCGCGTGGCGCGGCACGGCGCCGGGGTTCGTGAACATGGTCTTGAGCTGGCTGATCAACGCCATGAAGCTCAGGAAGAAGTAGAGCGGCACGTTGTAGATGCCCCAGCCGCCGACGACGGCGACGTAGACGACGACGATGTCGCTGTAGAGCGTCAGCACCCAGAGCATGGACGACATGACGGCGCCGGGGTTGTCCCGCTTGTTGCACCAGTAGCGCGCCCCCTCGTGCGTCCCGCAGACCGCGGCATCGAGCTCGTCCATCGTTTCCAATCGGTTTTCGATCCGCGCTCAGTCAGGCGGCGGGGTGCGGAGTCGCGCGGGGACCGCCGGCCGCCGTCCGCCGGGGCCGCGGGCGCCCGCTGGCGTCGCGCGGCGCGTCGGGGCGGTCGGCGGGGGGGGGGCGGATAGCGGCTGCCAAAGCCAAGACGGGCGACTATTGGCGCCCAAGTCCTTGCCACAGTCGATGTATGACGAAATTCCTGTTTCGATGAAGATCTTGAAGTGGATACAGGCCTGGATACAGCTTGCAATGCCGTGCGGCGCCGGCGAGCCGCGAGGTCACTCGTCGCGACACGCGCACCCTCCCTCGTCCTTCGTCTTCGGTGTATCCAGACATAAGGACCGCGCGAGTCTTTCACGCGCGCTCGAAGAGGAAGGGGTGGAGCTTGGCCGTGGTCGCGCTGGGCCGCGCGTCCGGGTCGATGGCGAGGAGCTCCTGGACGAAGTCGACGAAGGCGTCGTCGGGCGGGAGGTGGAGGCGGCGCGCGAGGGTCGTGTGCTGCGGGAAGACGACGACGAGGGCCTCCTCGGGCCGCTCGGCCGAGGACGCGGAGTCGTCGTCGCGCGCGGCGTCGCGGCGGCCCGAGTCGAAGCGCTCGTAGACGTGGCCGCTCCGCGTGAAGAAGGCCGCGCGGTTCGGCGCCCGCTCGACCATGGCCCGCGGGATGGGGCCCAGGATGCCCTGGAGCCGCGCGAGCATCGTCGCGACGGAGTCGTTCTGCAGCAGGACGTAGCCGCCCCAGACCTCCGCGAGCACGCAGCCCAGGGACCAGACGTCGACGCCGGCGTCGTAGTCGAGGCCGAGCACGACCTCCGGCGCGCGGTAGGACCGCGACTGGACGTAGGTCGCCAGGCGGTCGCTCGCGAAGCACGAGCTCCCGAAGTCGATGATTTTGACGGACCCGGCCTCGTAGTCCTCCAAGACGATGTTCTCGGGCTTGATGTCGCAGTGGATGATGCCCAGCGACGCGCAGTAGGCCAGCGCCGCCAGGCACTGGCCGGCGATGGTGCGCACGCGGCCCCGCGTGAAGTAGCGCTCGTCGCGGTCCCGACAGAGCTTGCCGTACTCGTACAAATTCTCCTTGAGCAGCTCCGTGACGATGACCAAATGCTCGCGAAAATAAAACGCGTCGAGCAACGTCACGACTCTCGAACAGCCGCCGCCCGCGCCGAGGTACCGCAATAATTTGATCTCGTCGAGCGACTGGTCGAAGAAGTCCTTGTTGTTCTTCACTACTTTCAAACAGACGCGCCGCCCGGAAACGCCCGGCGCGTGGTCGACGGCGGCGTAGGCGCTCGAGAAGGCCGCGCGGCCCACGAGGGCCTCGACCTCGTAGCGGCCCGCGAGCGACGACCCCGGCTGGGCCGCGAGGTCCTTGCCGAGCTCGAAGCCCGTCTTCAGCTGGTCGAAGACGACGCGCAGCGGGAAGCTGCCGAGGGCCGACGCGCACCCGGGCGGCGCGTCGTCCGCGGCGAGGCTCGCGGCCGCGCGGCGGAGCGGGGAAGAGGCCGCGCGGAGCCGGTCGCGCCTCCGGCGCCGGTCGCACTCGTCGCCGCCGCTCCGTCGCGGCGGCGGCTCGAGGGGGCCGAGGCGCGCGAACTCCTCGGCGGTCACGGGCACGAGGGCGAAGCCCGGGCCGTCGTCGTCGTCCCAGTCGTCCGCGTCCGACGGTTCGCCGCCGCCGTCGCAAACGACGGACGGCCGCGACGCCTCCGAGCCGTCGTCGTCGTCGGCGACGCGCGGCGGCGAGGGCTCGCGGCGCCGCGCGCCGTCCTCGAGGGCCGCGCGGCCCAGGGCCGACGCCTCGAGGAAGCCCTCGAGCTCCGCCTCGGCCGCGCCGTCCAACACGACGCCCGCGGCGCGGCACCGCCGCGCGGCGTCGACGAGGTCCGCGACGAGCGCGGCGGCGGTCTCGGCGCCGTCGTCGCCGGCGTCCTCGGGGTCGCCGCCGCGCACCGCGCGCTCGACCTGCTCGGCCATGTCGTCGTTCCACGACACGCGCGGCGCCGGCGGCGGCGCCGCGGGCTCCGCGGCCGTCAGCGCCAGGGACGCGTAGTGCAGCTTCCGCGCGAAGTGGAAGTTCTCCTCCTCGCTCGCGTCGTCGTCGTCGTAGGACGACGCGTCGCTGCCGTCGTCCCGGCGCCGCCGCCCGTGCCGCGGCGGCGGCGCGCCGAAGGCATCGCTCGGCGGCCGCCGCCCGGCGAGGCCGTCGCGCGGCGGGCGCGACGAGTCGGCGACGTCCGTCGACGACGTGCCCGCGTCGCTGTCCGCCGAGGGGGACCGCGCCACCGGCGAGGCGCGCATATCGTCTCGCGACGCGAACGCAGCCCCCGAAATTGAAAACCTCCAGCTGGGACGACCGCCTCAAACATCTACCTCCACAATCTTTGCCCCGACCTAGCAAAACCTGCCATAGCTCTCCTCTCCACAAGAAATTGTGGCCGAGCGGCGTCTCGCTGCGCCCAGTCCAACTCGCTCGGGGGCCCCGGAGGGGCGCCCGGCGCGGGCACCATCGCGAGCTACATGGTGCTCGAGCTCGAGGAGGAGGGGGGCTCCAAGGCCGCCGCCTCCTCCGCCGGCGCCCCCGAGGACGCCGGCGCCTCCGGTGCGCCCGAGGAGCCCGCCGAGACCTCCCCGGCCCCGAAGCCGCGGCGCAACAAGCGGCCGTCCATGCTCGAGCGCGGGTCCGGGGCCGCGGGCTTCTGGTTCGGCTCCCAGCTCAGCGAGCACAACGTGAACATCGAGTACCAGAACACGTTCAAGGAGACGCACGAGGAGGCCAAGTCGAAGAAGAAGAAGAAGAAGAAGGACGGCGGTGGCGCCCCCCGCACGCGGAGCCGCCGCGTGTCGTCGTCGACGGCCTTCTTCAACAAGTTCCTCGGCTGCGCGTACCGCAAGTCGCGCGACGACCTCGCCGACGGCGACGACGGCGGCGGCGGCGACGACGACGCGTCCGACGAGTCCGAGTCCGACGACGAGGGCGGCGCGGGCCTCCAGCGGGGCCTGTCGAAGCGCGTGTCGTCCTTCGCGGGCGGCCGCGCGGCCAAGGCCGGGTCCGTCGACAGCGACGACGGCGACAGCTCGGGCAGCGGCCGCGCGTCCGTCGGCAACCGCGCGTCGCGGAGCGGCATCAAGCGCATGACGCCCACGCACAAGTCGTTGTCCCTGGCCGCCATCGACGCGTCGGGCCTCGACGACTTCGAGGCGGGCCACAAGTTCGCGCACTACCGCTTCGGGAAGAACTGGGAATTCCAGGATTTTCCCGAGCACCCCTTGAACCGCGAGCTCGACTGGTACGACTACCTGGCGCACACGGAGCTCTGCACCATGAACTACGACGCGCTGCTCCACGGCGACACGGAGAAGCTCGCGGAGATGACGCGCGTCTTCATGAACCTCCGGTTCCTCCAGACGCTCCGGCTGAAGACCGTGTGGAAATCAAATCTTCAACCCGACTTCAATGTGAGCGTATGCGACCGTTTCGACGCAAGGCTTTCTGCTGTGCTTCGAGAACTCGATGAGAGCGATCGATTCGTCCAAAAATCAGCCGAATCGACTTCGATTTGACCGAGCTAGAGAATTCTGAAGTTTGGCCCCGACGTCCCAGCTCACTGGTTGATTTCCACACAGGCTGAAGACGGAGACGCTCGCGGCCTTTCTGGGCGACGTCTGGCGCATGATGCCGCCGAAGAACTTCTACCACAACTTCTCCCACATCTGCGACGTGAGCCAGTGCATGTACACGCTCCTCGTGGCCACGCGCCTCGTCGGCCGCTTCGACCCGCTCGTCGTGTGCGCGGCGATCTGCGCGGCGATCTGCCACGATTTGGAGCACCCGGGCCTGTCCAACGTCTTCCAGAACTCGGAGAAGACGGCGTTGTCCCTGCGCTACGACGGCAAGTCGCCCCTGGAGAACCACCACTGCGCGTGCTTCGACCTGTTGGTGACAAAGCACGGCCTCCTCGACAAGCTCAACGCGGCGGACGGCGCCAAGTTCACGGCGCTCGTGAAGCGCATGATCCTGACGACGGACATGGCGAACCACAACCAGCTCATGTCGGCCGTGCGCGAGCGCCTCGAGGGCGGGCAGAATTTGTTGGCCGACGCCGAGGGCACCGCGCTCGTGCTCAGCCTCGTGCTCAAGTGCTCCGACATCAGCAACCAGGCGCGGCCCTGGCGCACGGCGGAGCGCTGGACGGGGCGCGTCTACGAGGAGTTCTACCACGAGGGCGACCTCGACCGCGCCGCGGGCCGGCCCGTGTCCGCGCTCCACGACCGGGGCACGAACAACATCGCCAAGTCCTCCGTGGGCTTCATCACCTACATCGTCGAGCCCCTCTACAAGCTCCTCGGCGCGGCCATCCAGGCCTGCGCGGGCCGCGGCGAGGACATCCACGTCCGCGTCGTCGACGAGTGCCTCGTGACGCTGAGCAAGAACAAGGAGCGGCACAAGCAGGTGAGCGAGGGCCTCGAGCCGACGCCCTTCCAGACGGAGGACGACATGGTCGCCCAGGACCACAACGACCGCCTCCGCGAGCTCGCGGGCCGGCCGGGCTGCAACGGCTACCAGCAGCTCATGCAGGAGAAGCGCTTCAACTACCGCGCGGCGCACGACGGCTCCATCGGCCGCGTCGACGACGAGGACGCGAACGCGGACCGCTCCTGCAAGCCCATCGCCGACATGGTCCAGTTCTTCAAGGCCAAGGGCGAGTCCACGACCTACGGCGAGGCCGCGGCGCGACATCACGAGCCGGCCGAGCCCGCGCCCGAGGAGGTCAAGGCGCCGGACGCCGACAAGGACGCGGCGCCGCCGCCGCCGGCCGCGGCGCCGCCGGCGCCCGAGCCCGAGCCGGAGCCGGAGCCGGAGCCAGAGCCCGTCGCGGCGCCCGAGCCGGAGCCGGAGCCCGTCGCGGCGCCCGAGCCGGAGCCCGTCGCGGCGCCGGAGCCCGAGCCCGTCGCGGCGCCCGAGCCGGAGCCGGAGCCCGCCGCGGCGCCCGAGCCCGAGCCCGCCGCGGCGCCCGAGCCCGAGCCCGAGCCCGCCGCGGCGCCCGAGCCCGTCGCGCCCGCGCCGCCGCCCGCGCCGGAGCCCGCGCCGCCCGCGGCGGTCGCGCCGCCGCCGGCCGAGCCCGCGGCGGCGGCGCCCGCGCCGCCGGCGACGCCGACGGCGGAGATTTTGCCCGCGCCCGCGCCGACGCCGACGCCCGGGAAGAAGATGAAGCGCGTCTCCAAGGCCGAGGCGGCGCTGCGGCGCGAGGCCAAGGCCGCCGAGGCCGCGGCGATCGCGGCCGGCGAGCTGCCGCCCAAAAAATCGAAGAAGCGGACGTCGACGCTGAAAAAGGTGTCGGAGCAGGCGGCGAGGAATCCCGAGGCGTCGCCCGAGGAGCCGTCCCCGGGGGGCAAGGCGGGCGAGAGCAACGGCGGCGGCCTCTCCGTCAACGGCGCCGCGGCGAGATAGACCCGCCCTCGCGTCGCTCGCCCTTCTTCCCGAGCACCATCTGCTTTTTTCCGCACGCCGCCTGACCCATCGCGCCTCCACTCGTCGCCTGGCATGTAAACACCTACCCCCCTCGCCCCTTAGTAGGCGAGCGTCGGTCGGAACGGGCCGCCGTCGCGCGCGTCATGCTCCCGCGGCGCGGGCGCGGCGCCGGCCTCGTGCCACTCGCACTCGTAGGACCAGGACCAGAGGCCCGGCCCCGCGGGCGAGAGGTGGTGGAGGAGCGCGAGCGCGCCCGGCGCGACGGCCGCGGTGTGCTGGAGCGACCCTCGGTGGCTCGCGGCGTTCCGCGCGTTCCCGCAGTCCATCGTGAAGTCGAGGGGCTTCTCCCCCAGGTTCTCGACGGCGAAGGACACGCCGTTGCCCCCGGCCGTGAGCGCGTGGATCGTGAAGCCGTGCTCCGGGTAGGGCGACGCGTCCCCGAGCGTCCTGAGCGCGACGTCGACGGCGTCGCCGAGCGCCGCCGCGTCCGCCGGCGCGGGCGACAGGGCCAGCGGCGCGTCCGTCGCCGCGTGGACGACGATGGACACGTCCGCGGCGCGCCCGCCGCGGAGCCGCGCGCCCGAGGACCAGGCGATGACGACGTAGGCGCCCGGGCCCAGGAGGAGCCGCGGCGTCGCGACCTGGCGCTCGAGCGACGGGAACGCGGCGTCGACGAGGTCGTAGCCGCCGCCGTCGCGGCGCCGCAGGACGACGAGCGCGAGGTCCACGTAGGCGTCGGCGCCGTCGCCGCGCTCGTCCGCCTGGTGCGCGGCGACGTAGCAGTCCGCGGGCGCGCCGCCGCCGGAGAGGACGAGGTCCGCGTACGCCGCTGCGTCGCCCTCGGCGAGCGACGCGTCGAGGGACGCCGTGCGCCAGGCGCCGCCGCCGCTCGGGTTCAGGTGGCACGCGCTGAGGAGCGCGAAGGTCGCCGCGGCCGCGCGCCAGTCCATCCAGAACGTGCCCGGCTCCTTGCGGCGGTCGCCGCCGTCGCGCGGCGCCTCGTCGACGACGCCGTCCGGCGGGCCGACGCCGCCGGCGTCCCGCAGGAGCAGCGCCTGGCGCCGCTCGTGGCCGTCGGCGCCGCCGAGCACGTCCGCGGCGCGGAGGAGCGTGTAGACCGTGTCCGCGCGCGCGTCGCCGTCGTCGTCGTCGGGCGTCGACGCCGTCACGAGCGACCCGGAGTCGAGCCAGAAGCGCAGCTTCGCCCAGAGGTCGCCGGACTCGAGGTCGCGGCGCACGCGCGCGTCGCCGAAGCGCACGGCCTCGCACGGCGCGCCCGTGAGCGCGAGCAGGCCCTCGTAGGCCCAGCCGCGCCGGAGCGCCGCGTAGGACCCGAAGGCCTTGGCCGCGGCCTTCTCGAGGAGCTGGGCCCAGGCCTTGTCCCGGTCGCCGCAGGCCGTGAAGAGCACGCCGCCGCCGGCGCCCGCGTGGCACGGCGCGAGATCGTCGACGGCGACCGTTCGGGCCGTGCCCCGCAGGAAGAGGCGGCAGGCCACCTCGTGGGGCCCGTCGAGGGCCGGGAAGCAGGCCTCGACGGCGTCGGGCCGCTCCGCGAGGGCGTTCATGGCGCCGCAGAGCCAGCGGTCCTCGAGCAGCCCCCCGCGCGCGTCGCCGGGCCGCGCGCGCGCGGGCCCGAAGAGCGCCGCGCGCCGCGCGGCCTCGTCGTGTCCGCCGAGGCAGCGCCGCCAGGCGACGGGCGCGGCCCGGAGCGGGTCCGCGGCGTCGCGGGCGATGGACTCGGGCGCCGGCGGGAACGCGCCGTCGACGTAGGCGCCGTCGGCCTCGAACGCCGCCGCGGCCGGCGCCTCTCCCGCGGACGCGTCGCGGTACGCGAGGGCGCAGCGGAGGCGCCAGGGCTCGCCCGGCGCCTCGACGGCGGCGCCGGCGAGGCGCACGAGGGCGAAGGGCGCCGCGACGACGGCGCCGGGCGGCGCGTCCGCGGCCAGGTTCCGCGAGCCGCCCAAGTCCGCGCGGACCTCGACGGCGGCGAGGCCGCAGCGCTCGACGGCGAAGGTCCAGGCCCCGCCGGCCGCCGTCGCGTGGAGGTAGACGCCCGGCGCGACCTCGGCGCTCCGGAAGGCGTCCGGCGGCGCGCAAGAGCCGCACTCGGCGATGCCGCCGCTCCGGAGCTCGCGGGTCGGCGCCGCGCGCGGCGGCGCCGCCGCGGGCGCGGGCGCCGGGCCGTCGCCGGGCGCGGGGCCGTCGAGGCCGCCGGCCCACCACGCGAGGAAGGCCGCGAAGGGCACGACGCCGTCGCCGGCCGCGTCGACGCGGCGGCGGATCGCGCGGACTTCGGCGTCGTCGTAGTCGCCGCCCATGTCGCGGAGGAGGGGGCCGACGTCGGCGGCGTCGACGGCGCCGCGCCGCTCCGGGTCGTAGGCGCCGAAGTGGGACCGGAGCGCCCGGAGCTCGCCGCCGCCGACGCGGTGCGCCGCGCACGCCGCGGCGACGGCCTCGGGCTCCGCCGCGGGCGCCGCGTCGCCCGCGCGGTCGTGCTGGCTCGCCGCGAGGCGCGCCGCGTAGGCCTCGAGCTCGCCGCGCCGCGCCTCGAGCCACGCGTCGAGCGCCGACGCCGACTCGAGCTGCTCGAGGTCGCCCGCCTCCCAGGCCGGCGGCCGCAGCGAGCTCAGGCCCGACGGGATCGGCGCCGCCCGCTTCTCGAGCAGCGCCGCGTCCCGGCACGCGGCCTCGTAGCGCGCCCAGAGCGACGACCGCCGCTTCGCCAGCGACGGCGACGCCATGCGGCGCGGGTCGGCGGCGCGCGACGACGATCAAAACTGTGTGGGCTGCCCGCAAGTTCAAGAATCGGCTTTCAGGCTTGAGCCGGGGAGATCGTTGCATACGACATGCCTTTTTTCGGTTGGGGCCTTAAAGGCTGCCCGTAGACTAGTCGTCGTCTCGCGCCCGTCGCTGCGTCGTCGTCGTCTCGTCTCGTCTCGCTGCTGTCGTGCTCGCCGTCGTCGTCTCGTCTCGCTGCTGTCGTCGTCGTCTCGTCGCTGCGTCATGGCGGCGCTCGTCGACCAGGTCAAAGGCAAGCGCCAGCAGCTCGCGCCGTCGGCCGAGTCGCTGGACCTGCGCGCCATGGCCGCGGCCCAGTACGCGAACACGGACCACGACACGGACTACGGCCGCCTCGTCCAGGGGCAGGTGGACCACACGCGCTTCCCCGGGCGCCGCGTCCGCGCGACGGCGGCGGAACTAGAAACCGTGGCGGCCGACTTCCGCGAGAACTTTGGCGGCGTCGCCGAGACGACCCGCTTCCTGCTGGGCACGTGCCCCGCGTGCCAGCGGGAGGTCACGCACGGCGACTTCGGCGTCGACCACATTTTTTACTATTTAGAGGGCGACGAGGACAAGAAGCCGGTCAAGGCGCGCTCGATCCCGCGCATCTGGCGCGGGCCCTGCGCCGAGAAGCGCGCGAAGCAGATGAGGAAGCCGCGGGTGAAGAGCCGGACGGAGAAGGCGCTCGCCGACGAGTGGACGTCCTTCGTCAACGACGTGAACCGCGAGCAGGGCCACGCCGTCGTCGAGGAGGAGGCGGCGGCGACGCCCGCGAACGCGGCGACGGCGTCGCTCTGGGCCTGGCTCGCGGAGGCGCTCGTCGGCGCCGCGGGCGCCGAGGGCAAGGTGTCCTTCGAGGTCACGCGCGTCGACCCGCTCCCGGGCAGCGACGTCGACGCGCGCCGCGGCGCCTTCGCCGTGCGGCTCCGCGTGAGCTACCGCGCGACGACGGCGCTCGTCACCGGCGAGCCCGTCGACGCCGCGGGGAGCTCCGTCGTGTCGCTCTCGCTCGAGCCCGGCGCCGCCGCCGTCGCCATGGCCACGGAGCCCGGCGGCGCCGCCGCGCTCGCGTCGGCGCCGCCGGCCGACGGCGACGTCCTCGACCGGTGCCTCCGCAAGGTCGACCTCGCGGCCAAGGTCTGGGCGAAGAAGGGCGCCGCGGGCGTGATCTTCGCGCGCCTGGGGGGCATGCGAGAGGCGGCGCTCCGCTTCGCGGCCGCCGAGTGAACAGGGGCCGGGGGGGTCGTTAACATATACCGCCGCCGTTTGAGCTGCTGAATTCCAAAATCAACACCACGATTGTACCGTAGAAGCTACAGCTTCTCGTGACTCGCGTGCTTCCGCGTCGCCGGGCGCGCGCGGGACTTCGCGCGGGACTCATGGCCCGGCCGACCTTTGCCCCGGCGAGATTTCCCTTGCCGGGCCGTGCATTTTTGATGATCGACGCCGCAGACGCGACGGGACGGCCTTGGCCGGCAGCATATTCGGTGCCCCCCGCCGCGGCGCGGGGCGAGGTGCATAGCGTCCGGCGCGTCCGTCCGTGTCGGAAAGCCCGCCAAAAATGCCGCGCAACAAGCAGCAGATGCCCATGTGCCAGTACGGCGCGTCGTGCACGCGCAAGGGCTGCGTCTACCGCCACCCGCCCAAGCCCGCGAAGAAGGCGGTGAAGAACGTGGAGATCTGCGTCCACTTCATCGGCGGGGCCTGCAGCTTCGGCGACAAGTGCGCGAACCGCCACCCGGGCAAGGCCGAGGCCGCGCGGTTCCGGGAGACGTGCGCGTCGATCGCGTGCCGCTTCGGCGCCGGCTGCGCGAACGCCGCGTGCCTCTACAACCACGACGGCCGGGGCCGCGTGCCCGCGGCGCGCCCGGCGCCCGCGCCCGCGCCGCCGGCGGCGCCGCCGCCGGCGCCCGCGGGCGACGGCTGGTGGCAGGCGCCGGGCGCGCTCGGCGAGGGCGGCGACGAGTGCTGCGACCCCATCTCGCTCGAGCCCCTCGCGGAGCTGGGCTACCCGCCCTTCGGCCTCTGGGAGAGCGGCCGCTGGCACTGGTTCGACGGCGCCGTGCTCGCCACGTACCTCGTGTCCACGGCGACGTTCGCGAACCCGCTCACGCGGACGGCGCTCGCGCGCGAGGACTGCCGCGCGCTCGACGACTACCTCAACGACCACGGCCTGCGCGCGAGCGAGAACATGGGGAGCGTGCTCGTGACCCACGCCTTCGACCTCCTCGAGCTCACGGCCCGCGGCGGCGGCGCCGAGGAGCGCGCGATGGTCTCGCGGTCGCAGCGCGAGGCGACGACGGTGCTCCGCAGCCTCTTCGGCTTCGCGCGCTACGAGCCGCCGCCGGAGCCGCCGCGCTTCCCCGACGCGCCGCCGCCCCGGGCGCCGGCGCCCTACGAGGACTCCTTCGCGCCGCGGCCCGGCGGCCTCGGCCTCGGCGGCGGCGCGTCGCTCGGCGACGCGCTCGCGGCCGCCGAGGGGCCGCGCGTGCCCTACGGCGCCGCGGCCTCGGCGCCCCTCGACGACGTCGCGGAGAGCGACCTCGACGCCGGCGCCTTCCCCGCGCTCAGCGCGCTCGCGGCGCTCGGCCTCGGCGACGCGCCGCCGCCGCCGCCGCTCGGCGCGCCGTCGTTCGCCGCGCAGGCGGCCAAGCCCGCCGCGCCCGGCGCGTTCGAGGTCCCGGCCTACGTCGAGGCGCCCCAGAGCGCCGGCGGCGGCCGCCGGGCCGTCCGCGTGCCCCGCGAGATCCAGTGTGGAATTCAACCACTGGTTTGGGTGGTCCTGACCAAACTTGAGAATTCTCTAGCTCGGTCAAATCGAAGTCGATTCGGCTGATTTTTGGACGAATCGATTGCTCTCGTCAAGTTCTCGAAGCACAGCCGAAGAGATTGCGTCGAAACCGTCGCATACGCTCACATCGAAGTCGGGTTGAAGATTTGAATTCCACACAGGCGAGATCTGGGTGCCCCTGCGGAACGCGCGCGTCTTCGAGGTCCGCGACCCCATCGAGCGCTACCGCCTCGTCGCCGCGGCGCACGACCGCGGCGACGTCGTCGACCTCCACTTCCAGTCCAACCGCACGGCGCCCGTCGTCCTCGACGCCGTCCTCGACGCCGCGCTCGCGGGCCACCCCGCGGGCGTCTGGGTCGTCACGGGCTCGGGCCACCACGCGCCCCAGCGCAGCCACCAGAAGCTCCACGCCACGCTCTTCCATTTTACGCAGGACTGGCTCGCGACGCGCCGCTACGCCTTCGCCGTCGCCAAGGACCACAACGGCTTCGCCGGCGCGTTCCTCGTCACGGGGCTCCCGCCCGACCGGCGCGCGGCGCGCTTCGTCCGCGGCGCCGCGGGCGCGACCTGGGGCCCGCCGCCGGCCGCGGGCGGCTGGTGAGGCGACGACCCGGGGCCGGCGACGACGCGGGCGCGCGCGCGTCGCGGTAACGGAGGCCCTGGTCGGTTCGGGCGACGACGGCCGGTGGGGGGGGGGGCGTCGGGCGACGACGGCCGGCGGTGCCGCGCCCGGCGCCGCGACGGCCGGGGGCCCGCGGTGACTCGCGCTCGTTTACGCACAGACGGCTCTGCGTGGCGCTCCGACCGCCAAGCTCGACGCGCGGGAGGTAGGGGCCCCGGCGACGCGCGCGCGCGCGCGCGCGCGGACCGCGCCCGGTCGGCGGCGGGAGGAGGCGCGGCCGGCGACGCCCCCGGCGTCGAGGTCGCCCGAACTCCGGACTTGGCGTCCTCAGCGCCGGACCTTGTCGGCGACGCCCTTGACGAACGCGACGGCCGAAATGAGGAACCACGCGTACCTGCGGACAAACGGTCGACGTCTCGACGCGGCCGGAGCTCCGGCGCGGCATCCCGCGCGACGTAGGCGCCCGCGACGTCGCCACCGCTCGCGTCCGCGGCGCGCGCCGGCGCGGCGGCGGCGAGCGCGGGCGCCGCGGCGGCGAGCGCGGCGGCGAAGGCGTCGATGCGTCGCGGTGCCGCGAGGCGTGCCGGTGCGTGCAACTGCGGGACGCGTCGCAGCGGCGCCTGCCACGCTTGCGTCGCAGCGCAACACAACGCGAGCAAGTGCAGTAGTGTTTTTTGCATCATTTACTGGCGTTGTCGGCGATCGATGCGTTTGTTGACGTTGCAATGCGTCTGATGGCAGCGCACTGCGTGCAGGTCGTTGATGACAGCGCACTGCGTGCAGGATGTCGATGGTTGCGGCGCTGCGTCACGTTGTTGATTGCGCGCTGGACGCCGCTCTCAGGTCTTCGACCTCTCCGAGTCTGGCCGGGGGTAATTCTGCGCTGCTGGCAGGGCGCCACGGTCCCGTGGACGCATCCGAGGCGTCGCGAGTCGTGCCGATGGAGCGGGGGAGCCCGCCAGGCACCCTCCCGCGTTCGCAACGCGCTCGCGGCGACGGGTCCTGGCAGCTAGCCAGACTGCTTCTGCGGACGCTGAACTTAAGGCCCGCCGCCGCGCGCCGTCGCGCTCTCAGGTCGCGGCCTTTTCGCCGCTTTCCATCCGGTTCAGAGCAGCGTGCCGTTGGTTCGGGTATTCGCACAGGGGCGTTTTGCTGCGCCTTCATGCGTGCGGGCGAACGGCAAGCGTCGCGCACGTGCAAACTTTGCCCCGGCTACACGAGGCGACCACGGACAAAAGATTCGAACCTCACGCCGAGGTGGGTGGGTGGGGCCCGGGGCCCGGATTTGGAAATCGCAGGGTGTACTGAGTGCTTACTGGTAGGTCCCGCGCGCGCGCGCGCCGCGCGCGCGCGCGCGCGCGCGCCGCGCAGCGCGCCGCGCGGCGGCTCCGCTAGTCGTCGCCCTGGTAGATGTCGGGCGCTTTCGTCTTGCGCTTCGAGGCCCGGCTCGGCTCCGCCGCGGGGCGCTTCGGCGTCGGCGCCTTCTTCTTCTTTTTCTTCGGCGGCTGCGCGCTCGCGTCCGCGGCCGGCGCGGGCCGTTCGACGTTCGGCGGCGCGGGCGCGCGCGCGTTGTGGCGATTCGGCGAGCGGCAACTTGAAGGTAACTAACGAAAAGGAGGTCCCTGATTGGCCAGGAGGTGGGTGGGTGGGTGCCGGGCCCGCGAGCGAGGAACCCGGCGTAGGGTACCGCGGCTTTTATCCCGGGCGCCTCTTGCCGGCTATTCGATCTCATCTCTCACCCAAATTTGACCCGCGGATCGTGCCAAATCGCGGTAGGTTGAGGATCAGAGAGCACGCGCGCCACCGTGTCCGCGCAAAACCCCTTCCGACGGTCTTTACTCGCTCGCCGCGCCCCCTGGGCGGCCCACCCCGCCCATCGCCCGCGAAGACACCGGCGAAAAAGACCGAGAAGCCGAAGAGCGATCGATTCGTCCGTTCGACGGCAAAAATCCGCCCGCTTACCGGGGGCCGACCCCCGAGACGCCCCGTCACCCCCCCCTCCGGCCCCGACCCGACCCCCGAGGGCCTCTCCCGCCGGATGCCCCCCCGCCCCCGCGCGCGCGCGCGAACGCCGGCGGCCTCGACGGCGTCCGGTACCGCTCGAAAGCCGTTCGCCGCGCCCCCGCCGCCCTCCCCCCCCCGCCGACCCCCCTCGCCCCCCGCCCCGGCCCCGGGGCGCCCCCGACGCCCCCGCCGACACGACATTCGACGGGCCTCGGCGCCGCTTTCCGCGCTCGCCCCGCTCGAAGACCGAACTCGTAGGTTCGCGGATTCCGGTCCAGGGGCCACAGCGACATGAGCACGCGCCTCGTGCTCCTCGCCCTCGCGGCGTCGAGCGCCGCGGCGTTCAAGAACATCAAGAAGCGCGCGGAGGTCACCGTCGGCGCGCCCAAGGTCGGCCGGCCGCCGGCGGCGCGGCCGGGCGACCCCCCGGCGGCCAAGCGGCGCGGCGCGCCCCGGCGCGGCGCGGGCGCCCCCGCCGGGGGCGCGCCCCGGCGCCCGTCCAAGGCCGCGCTCGCGGCGCGCGCGCCCGGCGCGGCGCGCGGCGCGGCGGCCGCGGGCCGCGAGGCCGGCGCGCGCGGCGCGCGGCGCCTCCAGAACTGGTGCTACGGCGAGGACGGCACCCAGCACGAGTGCGACGACGACGAGCACATGTACTACTACGGCGAGTACAAGTACTCCGACTTCTACTACGGCGAGACGTACTACTCGGGCGGCGGCGTCGCCGACGACGACCACTACTACGGCGCGCACGACCACTGCCTGGACCTCGCGCAGACCTGGCGCTGCCACGCCAAGCAGTTCCGGTACGAGGCCGACAGCGACTGCGAGATCTGCTCCGGCCCGGGCATGGTCTGCGAGCCCGGCACCAAGGGCGGCAAGCTCTGCGAGGACACGCTCGGCTTCTGCGGCGAGCACGACGCCTTCGAGGACTACGTCCACGGCGGCTACGGCTCGCTCACGATGCAGGACAAGGCGGACATGGAGGCCGAGGAGGCCGAGCACGGCGTGTCGCACCCCTGCATCTCCGAGGCCTGCCTCGGCGACCCGAAAGGGTCCGCGTGCGCCGCGGACATGACGGGCTACTGCGGCAACAACGAGACCAAATGCTCCGCCACGGGCTGCACGAGCTTCTACCACAACGTCGAGTGGCACCGCGAGGACGCGTTGGGCGCCGTCTCGGGCGCGCCCGGCCCCTTCGTCTCGGGCGCCGCCAAGGACGACGTGCTCGACGAGCGCTACGCCGAGACGGGCTGCCCCTTCGCGGACGAGGCCGCCACGTGCCAGCGCGCCGAGTGCGTCGCCTACAAGAGCCAGATCACGCAGTACGCGCGCGAGGACGCGTGGGACATGTTCCGCCGCCACCCGCGGGCCAAGAAGCGCTTCGTCGACAAGCTCGTCGACGTCTGCAACGGCAACCTGCCGCCGCCGCCGGTGTCCCCCGCCCCCTCGGGCGCCCCGGCGGTGTCCCCCGCCCCGTCGCCCGCCCCGGGCCACGCGTTCGAGGGCGACGCGGCGCTGGAGGCGGCGGCCTTTCTCTTGAAGACCGATTACGACCTCGCCATCGAGCTCTACGGCCCCGTCGGCACGTGGAACGTGTCCGGCATCACGGACATGAGCGGCCTCTTCCGAGACGTGGACGGCTTCAACGAGGACATCGGCGACTGGGACGTGTCGTCCGTGACGACGATGGCGGGCATGCTCGCGTCCAATGCGGCCAAGAACGACGGACGCACGGACGAGTGTGACGGGTTCAACCAGTTCATCGGCTTCTGGAACGTGTCGTCCGTGACCGATATGCGGGACATGTTCCGAGGCCAGGAGTGCGTCGACCGGCACGTGGGGCTCGACTACTGGGGCCAGTGCCACATCAGATCAACCACGTGCGTCCCGATCGGCGTGCTCGTCGAGGGCGTGCTCGTCGGCACGTCGCCCACCGGCTGGTTGGGGTGCCCGGCCTGGCTCGACGAGAAGTCGGACGAACTGCGCGGCGTCGGCGACGCCGGCGGCCCCTGCGGTGACGGTGGCGCCGGGTACCCGACCGCGCCCACGACCCAACCGACGGCCCCGCCCACGGGCACCGATCAGTGCTTCATGGAGCTGCTCCCGGACGCGGACGCGTGCTCGGCCTCGTCGCAGGAGGACGGCGCCCACTGCGGGAGAACGCTCGACGGTCAGAACGACACGGGCTGGTTGGCCGAAAATTCGACCAACCAGTCGATCGCCTACGACCTCAAGGCGACGCACACCGTGACGGGCGTGTGCCTGGTCTGGGACTGGAGCGGGGACAACATGTTCGGGGCTACGAGCGTGCGCGTCGACACGTCGGACGACGGCTCGACTTGGACGACGAGCCCGAGCTGGACCTACGACGAGACCGACGGCATGCTCGCCGGCAACGGCGACCCGAGCTTGCTCCCGGACGTCATGGACGCGTGCTTCGCCATAAGCCCCGTCGAGACGCAGCACATCCGCCTCTTCTTCGAGGAGGCCTTCGATGTCTATTTGGGCATCGCGGAAGTCCGGTTCGTGGAGCTGCGCGGGATTACGTCCCTCGAGGAGGCCAGCGACTGCCTTTCTCTTGCTTCCTACAGCTACACTTACTCGTACGGCTCCGAGGTCGGGACGCCCGCGAACCGCCGCGACCGGCGCCTCGGCGCGGGCGCGATCGACGAGGAGTCGGCCTTCGAGGCCTGGTGGGACCGCGCCCCGGGGCGGTTCCCCTTCGGCGGCCGCGGCCTCGCCGAGGACTACCCCGGCTTCGACGAGAAGAAGGGCACGTACTGCGGCTTCTCCTTCTGCGCGGCGGGCCACGCGTGCCACGCGTGCGCGGCGAACGCGGCGAACGCGACCGCGGTCCAGGCCTGCTGCGCCGCCTACGACGTCGCCGGCACGAAGGCCGGCAAGACCAAGGACGCGCGGCACCAGTGCGCCGAGGCCGTCGTCGACTACTGCGAGGGCCCGGGGCTCAACGACACGGCGTGCGCGCCGTCGTTCGGCGAGCACCACGCGCCCTGCGAGGCCTTCGCGGCGCGGCCGCTCTGCGAGCGGTCCGCGTGCTCGCTCTACCGGCGGGAGGTCCTCGAGGCCTACGGCGCGGCCAAGGCCTTCCGCGCGGGCGAGCACGAGTGGGTCCGCCGCGCGACGCCCGGCGCGTTCGGCGACGACGCCTACGCGCCGCCGCCCTGGGACGCCATCGCGTCGCCCTACGCCACGACGATCTGCGGCGCGGCCAACGCGAAGCTCCTCTACGAGTGCACGACGCTGACCATCGACGACTGCAACGCGAAGGACCACTGGGGCGACGAGGACTGCAAGACGAAGCTCTCGACGTGCGGCGACGGGCTCCTGACCTGGGGCGAGGAGTGCGAGGGCAAGGGCTTCGACGGCTGCCACGAGTGCGAGTACGACGTCCGGCTCACCTACTGCCACACGCCGGGAGAACCCTGCGAGGCCTGCTACCGCGCGCACGCGGTCGAGGTCATCGGCGGCAACTCGCGCGACTACTGCCCCATGTGCAAGGAGCGCATGGACCTGAGCCTGGGCTTCGGGCCGAGCGACGACCTGCCGTCGCCCTGCGAGGTCGACGCGTGCCTCAAGGTGACGGACCTCGACGGCGCGCGGGCCTGCGACGCCGCCGTCGCCGAGTACTGCGGCGCCGTCGGCGCCGTCGGCGGCCGCGACCCGGGCTGCGAGGCCTACGCGCCCCAGGCCTACGACTACGCGCTCCCCCAGGTCGCCAACGACTGCGCCTACCAGCTCGAGCGCCTCGACTTCGCCGTGTCCGACGACTGGGCCATCGTCGGCGCGGAGGTGCTCGTCGTCACGTGCGAGTTCATCGACAAGGCGGGCGTCCTCGAGGACCTGACGCCCTACATCCCCTACGTCTACCACCCGACCTTCCACATGAGCGACGAGAAGCTCGCGGAGCTCGGCGAGGACATGCCGGAGGTCCACGCGGCCCTCACGGCGTGGAACGGCACGCTCCCCGCGCGCTACGGCTACCGCGACCTCTTCCCGATGACCGAGGTCGCGCTCGACGAGGTCTACGAGTACGGCAACGTCGACATCTACGAGGAGGCGAGCTGGGACCGCGACTACGGCCGGACGCTCCACCGCGGCTGGGAGTCCGTCGCGCGGCTCGTCGTCAAGGACGGCCGCGTCGGCGGCGACGGCGACGGCGACGACGCGTTCGGCGGCTACTACTACTACGACGAGTACTCCAGCGACTGGGACGACGACTGGTACCAGGACGACCACTGCGACGACTGGTCGGGCCGGGCGCTCGTCACGCTCCCGCCCTGCGCGCGCGACCCCATGGCGCACGCGACGGACATGCTCGCGAGGCGCCTCAAGTGGGGCGCGGTCCACGACACGGGCGACCGGGACTCGCAGTGGTCGCCGTACGGGGGCCTGCCGACGGGCAACGTCGACTGCGAGCTCGTGCCCGGCACCTACGTCGGCGCGACCATCGCCTCCTGGATCTACGCGGACTGGGACGGCACGCTCCGCAAGGAGGTCGAGTGGATCTGGGGCGACGGCGGCGACGTCCGCGTCGACGAGGCGCTCGAGGGCGGCGGCCTCGCGCTCCGCTTCGGCGAGGACGCCATGTTCGCGAGCGGCTGCGCCGACACGGACTGCGCCTACGCCATCGAGTCCTGCGCGACCATCGAGCTCGCGCCGCGCGTCATGGAGCCGTCCGCGGCCGCGTTCCACGAGGTCGAGGCCGAGCTCGTCGGCGCGATCGACGCGCTCATGGACGTCCGCGACTGGGGCGACCTGAGCGTGGCCAACTTCCGCATCGCCCAGCTCGCGGCGTCGGCCGCCTACAAGGACGCCCTCGACCTCGTCGACGAGCTCCTCGTCGTCGGCGAGAAGACGACGTACCTCTCGGGCGTCGAGGACTACTGCCCGCACGACTACCACGTCTACAACGCGACGACCTACGTCTGGGACCGGAACCCGGCCTGGCAGGGCGACCCCTGCTGCAACTGGGAGCTCCGGCGGGCCCAGTGCTGCCGCCCCGCGGACGTGCCCAACGGCTTCGCGCGCGTCGTCGAGTCCGCGGACGTGCCCGCGCTCCGGACGCGGTGCACGAACGCGTCCGTCGCGGAGATGCTCGGCAAGCTGCCCCAGATCATGGAGAGCGTCAACGGCGCCGCGGCCTGCGCCGAGGCGCTCGCGTCCGGCGCCGCGTCGGAGACGAACAAGAACCAGTTCGACGAGTTCTGGCGCTTCCGCGACGAGTGCCGCGACGCGATCGAGAACGGCGAGGACTCGGACGTCGGCAACGCCTGCGAGACCGCGGACGACTGCTACTGCTCCTACAGCACCTGCGAGACCGAATCCTGGAGCGCCTCCAAGGTCTGCCAGACGACGACGGAGGACTTCGTCAAGTGCGAGGCCGAGTGCTACGGGTCGAAGATCGACGCCGTCGCGATGCGGTTCCTCAAGCAGGACTGGAACGTGTCCGCGACGGACGACGCGGGCTACGTCGACGCCTTCGTCGCCCGCATGACCGACGACCACTGCATCGGCGACCGCCAGTGGGAGGACGGCATCAACTCGCCGCCGGGCGTCCGCTGGGTCTGCGACCGCCAGTGCCAGATGGACAACGCGTGCGACTCGTGGACGCTCGTCGACGCCTACCGGGCGCAGCACCGGGAACACTGCGAGGCCAACGGCTTCTCCACGCCGGAGTGCTTCCGGCCCGCCTCCTGCGACGACTGGTCGACCTACGACTGGGAGACCTGCGAGCACTGGAGCGACTTCTACCGCAACGCGGACCTCTGCGCGTTCTACGGCGGCAACCTCGAGTGCACCTGGGAGAACGCCGACGGGGACTGCGGGCACCACGACTGCAAGTTCCCGCCGGCGAACACTCCCTCGGGCCTGCCCTGCGACGCCTACGACCAGTGCCGCGAGGCGCAGCGCGAGCCGTGCGAGACGTCCGCCGGCTGCGAGGCCGCCGGCGGGACGTGGTACAACGACCAATCCGACGAGGACTGGTGCTGGGGCGAGTGCGGCCAATGCTGCCCCGCCGGCGCCCACGTCAGCGTGGCACCCTGGGACCCGGACTACGAGCAGTGCACCTGGAAGGAGCCGGGCTTCCCCGACGCGCACGAGCTCGGGCACCCGACGTGCTGCGCCATCTACGGCGGAAGCTGGCGCCAGGAGGGGGACGAGCCCACCGAGGGCGCCTGCTGCTACGGCGAGTTCATGACGTGGTGCGACTGGGGCACGAACGACTGCCACACCTACTGCAACGAGCACGCGTCGTTCGAGTGCTGGGACGAGGACGCGTGCGACCAGGACGCGTGCGCGGACTGCCACGACGAGCAGGACTGCTGCGGCGACAAATTCGTCCCCATCGACGCGGCCAAGTGCGAGTCCTTCGAGGCGTGCAACAGCCTCGAGTACCGCGAGGTTTGGGGCGACCACCACGGCGAGGCCTGCGACGTCGACGAGGGCTGGTGCGGCATGTGCTACGGCACGTGGTGCTACGAGGAGAGCGAGCCGACGACGTGCTACTGGAGCGACGGCGACCTGACCGAGGCCGACTGCGCCGCGCTCGGCGGCGCCTGGGACGAGGACTCCCACTGGCTCTCCTGCGCGCGCGCCGTCGCGCTCACGGGCGACCCGGCCGCCGACGGCGCGGCGTGCTTCGCGCACGTGTCGGACTACGCCGGCGCGCCCCCGGCCGCGGACGCGTGCCCGAGCCCGACCCGCGACGACGACTACATCGTCGCGCCGGCCTACCCGTGGCACGGGACTTGGTGCTCGCGGGGCTGCTACTACACGGCGCCCGTCGAGAGCTGGGACATGTCCTACTGCGGCTACGTGGTACGGGGCCCCGACTGGGAGTTGGGCGGCGACGTGGATTTCGACGACGAGCTCTGCTCCTTCTCCGCCGCCGAGTCGGAGTGCTCCGGCGCCGTCACCGTGTACACGTGGCCGAACGGCAAGGGCGTCTACGAGCAGATGGCCGTCGCGCCCGCGTACGAGAGCGGCGGCGCGTTCAGGTACTGCACCTTCGCCAGGGCCTCCTGGACCGAGACGCGCATGGACTGCGAGGCGGGCGGCTGGTACGACGCGAACGCTCGCGGCGGCGAGGGCGCGTGCCGGGAGACCGACGAGCTGCTCGACGCGGGCGCGTGCGAGGCCGTCGGCGGCGCGCTCGTGCCGCACGACATCTACTACCGCCCGGGCCGCTTCGGGACCGAGGCCCAGTGCAACGAGGGCGAGTGCAGGGGCTTCTACGCCGAGGACGAGGCGGGCGAGCTGCGCCACCAGTGGGGCGGCTACACGCGCGAGCAGTGCGCGGCCGCGCCGGGCGAGGCCTGCGACCGGTCCTGCCAGCGGTGCATGTCGGAGAACGACGAGGCCCTCGACGACGGCCTCTGCTTCAACGCCGCGGGCGTCGTCCAGGTCGGCGAGTCCAAGGCGGACTGCTTCGCGAACGAGGCGTCCGGCTGGGAGTGGGCCGACTGCGCGTCGCAGGCCACGTACGACGACTGCTACCTCGCGAACGACGCGCGGCCCGAGCTCCAGTGCGCGATCCGGTGGGACACGTGCACCGACGAGGCCGCGTGCGACGCCGCGGGCACGTGCGACGACCAGTGGTGGAACCGCCGCGAGCTCTGCGGCGACGCCGGCTGGGCGCACGGCGACACGTGCTGGGCGCACTACGACAACGCGACGACCGTCACGGTCAACGGCACGACGACCACGACCTACGAGTGGATCTACGAGTCCTGCGACGACTGCAAGCGCCCCAGCGGCGTCTGCGTCGAGGACTTTGGGACCTACGGCTGCGAGCGCTACGCGTGGCACCAGTTCGGGTGCAAGGTCTTCGGCTCGAACTCTCCCGAGGACTGCGAGGCGCGCGGCAACGGCGCGACGTGGCGGACGCCGTCGGCGACGCGCGCCGAGTGCGAGGCGGCGACGCGCTGCGAGGAGGAGTGGTACGGCGCGAGCTCCAAGAGCCCGGAGGAGTGCGAGGCCTGCGGCGGCACGCAGGTCCGCGCCTGGCACTGGCACGGCGGCCAGTGGAGCGGCGCGTACGTGCGCGACCTCACGTGGTTCCCCCGCGTCGAGATGGCGCCGCTGAACGTCGTCACGCCGCGGACGTCGAGCCGCAAGATCGACGCGGAGCTCGGCCCGCCGCTCATGCGGGCCTTCGCCGCGTCGCAGCGGAGCCAGCTCTACCTCACGCACACGATGTGGTCCGCCGTCGTCATGGAGCTGCTCTGCGAGTGCGGCGACGCCGACCCCGCCGTCTGCGGCGCCCACTCCGGCGGCGGCGCCGTCGCGGGCAAGGGCACGGGCTTCTGCGGCCTCGAGGAGCCCCTCCAGGCCGGCTGCGCGTCCGCGATCTTCACCAAGGAGTGCGCCGACGACACGACCCTCGACCGGCGCCTCGCGGCGCCCGCGGCGCCCGCGGCGCGCGCGCTCGCCGCGGCGTCCGACAAGGCGGCGAAGTACCGCGGCGACTGCACGGAGTTCAAGAGCCGCAGGAAGTGCGCCCGGGCCTCCCCCTCGTGCTCCTGGAGCCACCTCAAGGGCAAGTGCAAGCGGAAGCGGGAGAAGTGCCGCGACATCAAGAAGCGCAAGATCTGCAAGAAGAAGAAGTACCACGGCCACTGCCACTGGAGCGGGAAGAAGGACAAGTGCCGCAAGCCCAAGTGCCGCGAGCTCAAGCACAAGGCGCACTGCAAGGCGCCCACCGGCGAGAACCTCGGCTGCGAGTGGCGCAGCGGCAGGAAGAAGTGCGTCGACGTGAAGAAGTGCGAGCGCGCGACGCGGAAGAAGGGCTGCCTCAAGGGCAAGAAGCTGAAGAAGCTCGGCTGCGCGTGGGACGACACAACGCAGACGTGCGCCGCCGGCGGCGCGGGCGAGTTCGGCGAGGGCGGCGGCTTCGACGAGGCGCCGGCCGACGACGCGGACAACGTCGACGTCGCCTTCTCGTCCATGGGCGCGGGCGAGGTGCCCGGCGCGCGGCGCATGCACGCGGACGGCTGCTGGGAGGCGACGACGCGCGTCGACGCGTACGTCGTCGAGAGCGCGGCGGGCGTCGTCGTCGGCCAGCTCGCGGGCGACGGCGTCGGCGTCGAGACGGTCGCGGGCTCCTTCGAGTCCGCCAAGCTCTGCCTGCCGACGCGCGCGGACCTCGTCGGCACCGGCGACCTCGCGTTCTCGCGCAAGGCCATCGTCCGCTACGACGCGGCCGCGGCGCCCGCGTTCGCCGTCGTCCTCGCGGAGGCCGACCTCACGACCGCGACCGCGGCCAAGTTCTGCGGCACGCTCGCCGGCGACGGCGTCTACTTCCCCGCCTACGTCGCCGACGACCTCGACCCGACCAACGACGCGGCGTGCGCCGCCGGCGGCCTCTCGTTCGGCTCCGTCTGCGTCTGCTACTGCGGCTTCAGCGGCGCCAAGTGCGACGTCGGCTGCGAGAACTCGTGCAGCATGCAGGGCACCTGCGGCGCCGACCCGGCCGCGCCGAACGCCTGCGCCTGCGCCGAGGGCTACTCGGGCGCCGACTGCGGCGTCGTCGACTGCCCCGGCGACGCCGCGGGCCACAAGTGCCACTGGCAGGGCGGCACGTGCCTCGCGACGGGCGCGTGCGAGTGCAACGACGGCTACAGCGGCGCCGCCTGCGACGTCCAGGCCGTGCGGCGGTCGACGAACGTCGACTTCCCCGAGCGCGCCTACGAGGACGACGGCGAGACGGACACGTCCATCTTCGGCGGCCTCTACGACATGTCGCCCGCGCCGACGCCCGCGCCCTCGCCGGCGCCGGGCGACCCGACGGCGCGGCCCACGACGCCCCGGCCCTCGGCGGAGCCGACGGCGAAGCCGACGCCCGCGCCGGGCGACCCGACGCGCCGGCCGACGCGCGAGCCGACGCCCAAGCCCACGTTCGGGCCCAAGCCCACGCCCGAGCCGACGCTCCGGCCCACGGCCTCGCAAGCGCCGACGGCCTACAAGCCCTGCGCCGACCACGGCATCCAGGTGACGTGCCTCGCCGCGCACATGTGCGAGTGGTCGCTCGCGACCGGCTGCTCGGACGTCCCCTGCGGCGAGATCGACTCCCGGAACCGCTGCAAGAGCGCGGGCTGCGCGTGGCACAAACCCGAGGGCGCCGGGGACTGCAAGGACAACACGAGCGAGAAAGCGTGCAACAAGGACGCGCTCGGCTGCAAGTGGAAGAACGACAAGTGCAAGCCCAAGGGCGACGACGCCGGCGTCTGCGTCCTGCCGCCGACGCCCCAGCCGACGCTCCGGCCGACGGAGCGCCCGACGCCCGCGCCGGGCAACCCGACGGCCAAGCCGACGACCAGGCCGACGGCCGGGACGTGCGAAGACATCACGAAGGCGAGCGTGTGCGAGAACAAGGCCGACTGCACGTGGAAGGCGGACAAGCAAAAGTGCAAGGGCGGCGACATCGGCGGCGACGCCGGCGGCGGGAGCTGCAAGGACAACACGAGCGAGAAAGCGTGCAACAGGGACGCGCTCGGCTGCCAGTGGAAGAAGGACAAGTGCAAGGAGTCCAAGGGCGACGACGCCGGCGGCGGCGGCGACGCCGGCGGCGACGCCGGCGGCGGGAGCTGCAAGGACAACACGAGCGAGAAAGCGTGCAACAGGGACGCGCTCGGCTGCCAGTGGAAGAAGGACAAGTGCAAGGAGTCCAAGGGCGACGACGCCGGCGACGACGGCGAAACCACCACCACCTCCTCCGGCGGCGACGATGGCGAACCCACCACCAAGTGCAAGAAGCTCGACAAGGCGGCCTGCAAGTCGAAGGAGAACAAGAAGCGCTGCAAGTACGACGAGAAGAAGGGCAAGTGCAAGGACGAGTCCTCCGGCGGCGACGCCGGCGAACCCACCACCAAGTGCAAGAAGCTCGACAAGGCGGCCTGCAAGTCGAAGGAGAACAAGAAGCGCTGCAAGTACGACGAGAAGAAGGGCAAGTGCAAGGACGAGTCCTCCGGCGGCGACGCCGGCGAACCCACCACCAAGTGCAAGAAGCTCGACGAGGCGGCCTGCAAATCGAAGGCGAACAAGAAGCGCTGCAAGTACGACGAGAAGAAGGGCAAGTGCGAGGACAAGAAGGACAAGCCCTCCGGCGGCGGGAGCTGCAAGGACAACACGAGCGCGAAAGCGTGCAACAGGGACGCGCTCGGCTGCCAGTGGAAAAAGGACAAGTGCAAGGAGTCGAAGAAAAAGGAGGACGCGTGCTCCACGCTCAAGAGCTCGATCCTGTGCGGCTCGCAGGAGACCTGCAAGTGGATCGGCGCCACGGCCACGACCGACTGCGCCGTCATCCCCGACAAGTCCAGCTGCAAGGCGCAGAAGAAGGCGGGCTGCAAGTGGTCCGGGGGCCAGTGCAATGCGCCGGCGTCCGAGTGCAAGAGCAAGAAGTAGGCGCGCCGCGGCGCCGCCGCGGGCCCATGCCCCGCGGCGAGCCGACGGAGGCGCCCGCCGCCGCGGGCCCATGCCCCGCGGCGAGCCGGAGGGGGCGCGTCGGACGGCGCCGCGGGCCCATGCCCCGCGGCGAGCCGCAGACGCGCCCCCTCCGGCTCGCCGCGGGGCATGGGCCCGCGGCGGCGGGCGCCTCCGTCGGCTCGCCGCGGGGCATGGGCCCGCGGCGGCGCCGCGGCGCGCCTACTTCTTGCTCTTGCACTCGGACGCCGGCGCATTGCACTGGCCCCCGGACCACTTGCAGCCCGCCTTCTTCTGCGCCTTGCAGCTGGACTTGTCGGGGATGACGGCGCAGTCGGTCGTGGCCGTGGCGCCGATCCACTTGCAGGTCTCCTGCGAGCCGCACAGGATCGAGCTCTTGAGCGTGGAGCACGCGTCCTCCTTTTTCTTCGACTCCTTGC